CAAAAATCACCTATTTAGCAATAGATTTTCTCCCTCATCTGAGCAGACAGAATTTAAAACAAATGTGGATGTGTACATATACATATACAAGTTAAAATATTGTTTGTATTACTATAAAAGCAAAGCCTACACTCTTGCTTTACTCTGTACAATTCAGTGAAAAGAACAATCTAAAGCAAAGGAAAAAGTATGGGATGCTAAATACAGAGCAAAAACAGATAACTCATCAGTAACTAAGGCTATAGGCAAACACACTGTTGCATTAGAAGTCATTTTTCTACAACTGCTGCTGTATGACGAATTCAAAATCTGTTTAATAAATCTGACACAGCAAGAAAAGCTGCTGAAATCAAACAAGTTGAAGATCAATTTATACCACTTTACCCTCACCACAGGCTTCAATTCAATCGCATCTCACAAAAGCAGAAGCAAAGGGAAAATTCACTGCTGACAGCCAGCATCACCTCTTCTGACAGACACCAGCCAGCCAGACCAACAGCAGGCAGGAAGGACAGCGAGTCTGCACCAGCTCTGGCAGACAGAAAAACCTACACTTCTCTCTTACACAAAGCTGCTCACACCTCTTGCTGGTCACCTGCTTTCCTTCCAGCACAGGGCAAAACAGTGCTCTTGTTTCTACACTTTGTCAGTTCTGAGGCATTCAAGCCAAGCTGTAAAAGACATGACAATACATAGCATGCACCTGGGATAATTTTTTAGGCAAAGGGGATTTGAACACAACAGATGCTGGGCCATCCTGCAAAGCAAAATGGATCTTTGGAATGCTAATTAACCGATTCACACAGAACACACAGAGAAAGTTTTGATTCAGTCTTTCTGCAGATGGAACCCAGGTGCTGGGTTTCTGAAAAGGATGAGCATGCTGTAAAACCTCGAGCCCAGCAATCACCACTATTAGGTCTCAGGTGGCACTTTTCAAAGACTCTTGAGCGGTTCAACAGTGGCAGCAAAGCACGTGAACACACATCGTGAAGACCAGCACGGTTCTGCTGCTGTCAGAGCCGAGGTGTCCTCGTGGAGCACCCATCTGCAGCTCACCCGAGGGTGCCCCTGCTGAGAGCTGAGGTCTGCAGGGTAAGGAGCGGGGCAGGGCCGAGCCTGACCTGTGCAGTGCAGAGAGCTCACTGGGAGGCACAGAGAGAACAGAGGAAAAACACGCAACGTTATTTGGGGACAAGAGCTGCTAGCGCAGGGAGTTCGCGACCTTCAGCTGACCAAAGGCCCCGACACGGCTCCGTACTGGCCGCAGCGATCACAGACGCCCACTGTAGCCCGGCCCCCAGCGCCGCACAACCACCAGCAGCGCTCCGCGTCCACCGAGCACCACGGATGCGTCCGTACGGACGCGGCTTTCCAAGAGCTGGACGCGCACCATCCCGCCACGCACCACCGAGTTCACTCGCTGGGTCACAGGAATCCTAAACCGACCCTCCGTACGGCACGGAGCACACGGAAACGCCCTGTGCCTCTCTGGCGGGCGGAGAGCCGCGCGAACGGCCCGAGCGGAGCCGCCCCGGGACAGAGCGCACGGAAATGAACGGCGGAGAGCTTTCGGTCCGCTCGGCCAGAAACGAACCGTGCCTCCGTCCCGGCGCCTTAAAACTTCACTCGGCGCCGTGAAGTTGTCAAAGCCCGTCCGCGGGAGGGAAAACGCGCACAGCCGGGCCGAGTCGGCAGCGCCGACGCGAACGGCGCCCGCCCGCAGCGCCTCCCGCCGGGCCGGGGGCTCCCGCAGCCGCCTTTGTTCGCGCCGAGCGGCGGCTCCGCCATCTCCAACAGCGGAACCGACCGGCGCCGCCCAAAGCGGCAGGGGAAGGGAGGGCCGGGCCGCTCCGCCGGGAGGGGCGGGACCGGGGACGCGGCGGGGCGCGGCGCCCACCGGGGCCCGGGAGCGGGTGACGACGGCGCCCGCGGCGCGGAGAGGGGCGGGAGCGCTCCAGCCGCGCCGTAATGGGCCGCGAGAGGAGGAGGAGGAGGAAGAAGAGGAGGATGAGGAGAGGCCCCGCACCCGAGCCACCCCCCCTCTGAGCGCGAGCGGCCCGTCCCGCCGCGCGGCCCTACCTGCTGCTCGGGCCCGCGGGAGCGCAGCGCCGCGGAAGGCGGAGCCGGGCGGCCTGGCGCGCGGCGGCGACGACAGCGACGACGACGACCACGACGGCGGCGCCTCCTCCGCTCCGCCCCCGATGCCGCTGCCGCGCGCGCCCCCTGCTGATGGGAGGCCGCAAACACGGCCCAGAGAACAGCGGGATGCGATTGGCCGGAGCGCCGGCACCGCGAGCTTTTTCATTGGCTCAGCATTCTTGTTTTGGAAACCTGCACTTTTGATTGGTGGTGGTGGGGAAAGCTTTTGGTACTGATTGGTTGAAAGCTTTGCTGCCTCCCACCGCCTCCTGCTCCCGGCTGTCGTCGCGGCGCGTGAGCCTCTGCCTTTTCCGTGCTGCGCGGACACTCCCGCGCCGCGGGCGGGACGTGACAGCTGCCGCTGCCCGCAATAGGAGCCCTGGGCGGGGCAACGCAAGGGCTTTTAAGCCTCCCCTCAGTTCTCCCGGAAGCAGCCTGACGTAAGGAGACGACCCGCGGCAGCCATCGCGCCGAGCGACGTCATCAATCCGCTGCGGCGCGAGGGAAACGTCATTGCGTGAGGGACAGCGAGCCGCGGTCTGTTCTGCGCATGCTCACCTCCGCGCGGGGCTACCGCGCATGCGCCGTGAGCTGAGCGGGCGGCAGGCCGGAAGTGTGTTGTGGGGCGCGGGTCGGGGAGGTGCCCGGCGAGGCGGCCTGTCCGGTCACCGGTTTTCTCCCTTTTTGGGCATGGCCCGGCGGCGTGTTCGTTGCTCGTCCGGGACGGGCGCGAAGTCCAGGACTCGTTGCGTGTTCTTCCCGTTCGTGCCGGAGCCCGACAGAACGTTCTTAAGAAACCTTTCCTGCATAACGTGAGCGGGCGGGAGGTCGCGCTGCGCTGCCGGCATCCACGGCCAGAGCGGGAGAGGCGACGGCCGGACAGCGAGCCGTCGGTTCTGTACGCGTCTGTGGAGCGGAGCTTCGGGAGAGGCCCGCGAGCGCGGACGCGAAGTCAGGGCGGTGATTTCGCCGCCGGGACTGCAGGAAGGCGGGAGGAGAAACGGGCGGAGCGTTTGCGGCGCTGCGCGGTGAGGTCCGCCCGTCCCGCGCCGAGCTGTTGGTGCGCTGGGCGCTGTAGCACAGCGGGCGCTGCGGCGTCTCGTCCCGAGCGGCACGGCCGCGATAGGCGTTTCCTGGCTCTCAGCCCCGCGCTGCTGCCCGGATCCCGGCGCTCACCGCCACCACAGCTCGCTGCGAGCCGCAGCGCCGGGCGCTCCGAGTGGCACGGCGTGAAGTTAAAGCCAGAGGAACGTGAGAATAGCCGGGCTGTCAGAGCCGCAGGGAACGAAGCCGGTGTGCTAGAAAGACATTGCCGAACGAACCACTCGATTTGTTCACGGGCCGTCCTGTAAAGCAGCCAAGCCACAGCTGGACCTGTTAGTGCTGCTGCCAGCGTGCTTGGGAATGAATGTAGCAATGCACTGTAAATGTCCAACAAAAATACATTCTTTGTGGAAATAATACGTTTAGCTTTTATATAAATTAGGTTGGAAGCGGTAATGCAATTACCTTCCTTCATTTGCTTGAATTATTTACGTGACTCAGTAGCTAACTGCTCTGAGAGCAGACTAGTAGTCACACCTCAACTACTGTCACGAGCCAACAGGTGATCATTGCTCCTGTTACAGAAACTGATCACGTTTCATTTATAATATTTATGGCAGCCTACATAAGCTGATTATTTCTGACAGATTCAATTGCTGTGGAATTATACTGAGATGAGAAACGGAACTTGATTACTGTGGTTTGAGAGAGAGATTAAAATGCCCTTTTCAGGGAACTTGGAAACACCTCTGGTGCCCCTTTCTTGTGGGTGCACAAATTCTCTGGGTGTGTGGTGAAACAAACTGACACACAGGCAAAACAGTGGCTGCGTTTCAATGGAAGAACTCCCTGATCTGGTTCACCTCACAGTCATGCAAACAGTTGACAACAAAGACATGCACTTGGAACAGTGTCCTGAAATTGTCACCGCTCCACTGGAACAGACATCCAAAAAGAATGTGCAAGAGAGAAGGAGAGTTAGCAGCTTGTGCTGCAGAAATGGCAGTATCTGGGGCTGTGATGGAAACAACAGAAACCATGTAACACTTTACGAGGCACCTTGTAAAGATCAATCTAAACACTGTCTTACTCAGGTTCGTTACTTGTGGTAGCCTGGGATGGCGCTGAACTTGTCAGAACACCTGTGGAACGGGAGAAAGATCTGCTGAAGGAACTCAGCGGTTGCTGTTCCAATGCAGCAGTTTGTTGACTGAAGCTAATCTGAGAACAAAAGCTCAGCATGGGCATTCTTCCCCTCCTAACCAGGTAATCCTGAATCATTCTCTGTAAGCAAGATCAAAACCCAGTACGATTGTCACTGTTATTAAGTAATATTTATGTTTTCCAGCCTGATGCTTTTTGTAATTCTATCATGTCTATGTAATTAGCTTCAGGTAGCTGAATCTGACTAATTGTGATTTGATTTATTTTTCTTTTTCCTGGCTGACATTTCTGTGGATACTGGAGTTGCTAGCCATTACTTAGGTATTCCATGAAATCTTTAAGCCAGAGAGCTGAATCCTGCACTCCAAAAACACCCTGACTGTGCTCTGAGATGCAGTTGGTGGAATGTACCCTTACTGCTGTGGCAGTGGCTGGCAGCGTCCTCCAAGCCCTTGTGTCACTTTTCAGACCAAGGACTCAGGCTGCAGCCTGACAACACTGTAGACTTTTGAGCAGTAGTTACAAAACCAGAAGAATCTCCCCTTCGCTGCTTTACTTACTGGTAGATGCAGTCCTTGCTGTTAATGTAAGCTATGGCTTGTGAATAATATAATAACCTGCAATTTGTGACTGAGTGCTTAATTAACAAAATAATCACAGAGTCCCTTTTTTAGATTAAATAGAGTCATGAACTAATAAAGAATTGGGACTTAGAGCAAATAGGAATGAAGGCATTGGTGCAGCTCGCTTTCAGAAGTAGGGTCAGACTTCTATTTTTTTTCCTGCTAAGCTGATAAAACAAAACAGGCAAAGGGACTTATCTTAAATTCCACAGAATGGCTTAGAAGAGGAAACAAAGCAATAGCAGGCTCATTTTTGTAATTCAAGTGTTGAAAAGTAGATCAGCTCAGAACCCCCTGAGCACCAGAATTACGCCGCTGCCAGTGGTAGTGCTGGATAGGTGGAAGCGCGCTTGTTTCAGAGCGTTGCTTTATCTGCAGCATCCAAAGCCCTTCTCAAACACCTTCTGACACTGGGATTACAGCTCCCAGGAGCTTCTGACCTAAGCAACTTACTGATGCATGAAGGTAACTCCCGGAATGCCTTCCCTGCAGATGTTTTGGCCTTGCTGTTTTGAAAATAGTCCTTGCTTCCTTCCCAGACCCAGGATTCTGTCATATTTAGGTATAATGACATTGTGTCTTTCCATGAGCAGTCATTTGCAAATATAGGGTTATTCCAACCCCATGTGTATTTTGGGAAGCAATCTCTCTTCCTCGATAATTAAAACAGGAAGTTTCAAAAAAGATTTGTTTAAACATCTGTAAAAACAGTCAATTTGGGGCAGACATGAATATATGTTTTAACTGCTCAAGGAAATATTCACCAAATGAAAAATGAAATAGACTTATATAGAGATCAAGATATTTCAAGGGTACGTGGAAAGCACATCCTGAAGGTATTAATTTGTCAGTGTCTTATTTCTGAGCAGCTTTAAATTTTCCTTGTTAACATTATTATAATTATTTGTTGCAGTTTTCCTAAAAGAAAAAACATCTGAACATTTCATACTATGTTCTTATTATTTATTGTGGCTAAAAAAGCTTTAACGTACCAGTCTTGGCCCACCTAATTTGGTTGGTTATTTTACTGTTTCCTGCTTTCTCTGAGCATTGCCTTACTCGTTCATACATTACAAAGGCACACTGGAGACTGAGCTGAGGAGAATTACACCCATTTTCTGACCTGCTTGCTAATCCATGTTTACATCCCTGACGTAAGGAGCAAACCCATTATCATGAGCTTCAGCTGTTTACATCAGGTCTGAACTTTATCGTTTTCTTTTTTGCTCTGCTGCTCAATTGAACGATGCCAGATTGCTTCCTTCAGCTCTCACAGAACATCCCTGCAGCTGCTGTTGGTGCAGCTCCCCAGAAGGGCCTCGCTGATCGGGTAACACACGCTCCAGGTGCATCCAAGCTAGAGGCCTTTGTTCCATTCACTGCCTGTATTGTCCTGCCTGTTTCCTTGGCTTTATACGTAGGGATTTACAACAACAGGTGCTTAATAGTAGAGAACTATAATGTAACTGATAAGACTGATTGATCTCTTTTCTATCACAGCTTGTATATGCAGTTGAAATTTGCCCGTAAAGAAGATGGGGGAGGTAAAAGCTCCCAGTCACAAGCTAGACTCTTGCTGGCTACATTTCTGTTACTAAAAAAGAGAGTCTAATTCTTTGCACATTTTCAGCACAGAGTAGAAGCAACAGTTGGGTAGAACCTCATTAAGGCTGCCAACGAGATTATCCTTTTCCTAGGTGAGCTAAGTAGGTTAAGTGTCTTCAAATACTCTAAACTGTCTCTCTCATATCCTGAAAGCTATTAACACTTCGGAACAGTCTGCTTGACAGGCTTAGGTCTAAATGGCTAAATGCTACACTACATTGCCTTACTTAATCACAGCTAGTCCTCAGTCATTAGTTTGGATCTTATTTATCTCTGACTTTTTTTCTTGTGCTGCAACGGAAGCTCAGGCCCTTCACATACAGATGCAGCCATCGCAATGTGGAGCTATAGGCAAGGATCTCAGTTCCTGCAAACTCTATAAGCAGTTATTCATCAGCTGATCTTCACAGTCATGATTATTCCAAAAAATCAAAGAAGTCATCCAAGACTCAGGTTTGCACTGGTACAAATGGCAAAGAGTTTTCGAGCTGAGTAAAAAAATACATATAAGGACTTCAGATTCATCAATGACGCATTCCAAGTCCTGAAAAATAGCATTTACTTGTTCATTTATTTCACTCCACTTCATGTTAGAGAACATAATGACAAGCAAAATTGTTTTAATAATCTGTTACCTAAAACAGCAAAGCGAAGGCTGCTTTGGCAAATAAGTCGTACTCCAAACAGCTGAATTGAAATAAAACTTTAAATAAGGAGTGGTCAGCCTGCACTGGATTCTTTCAGGGGAAGTACCTTTGGACAGAAAATGACAAAAGACAATGGACTTTGCTGGCGCATTTGGCTAGCTTGTTTGGGCTTATTTCTGTTCTCATATTGCTAGGCAGCAAAGCCATGGTATGTTTTTCCTTTTTCCTTAACATTGTTATTGAAATAAAGGGTTCATAACACAGCTTTTTGAGGGAGCAGGGCAGTAAGTCTCCCTGCCTTCCCCAGGCATATTCACACACACTCTCCAGATAAAATGTACTTGTAGCATTCACCCTTCATTCCTACCTGGGAAAATAGCATTGCCTCATTTTTTCACTCATCTGAAAGGGTCCATAGCTCAAGATTTTTGGGAAGCCAGTGTAAGTCATGGTGCTAGCACTGCTCAACTTAATAGCTTCTGCTGCAAGCCCATGGCATAAGCACGTGGGTATACACAAATTACACCTAAGTATATGCAGTTTCAGAGGTGCTAAGAGTCCCATAAAATTACCTAACACAACTACTCAATTTCACAAAGTTCTCATTTTGTGGTAAGGAAGAGAATCCACATCAACAGTTGCAAACAATGGCCCTGATGGAGGAGCAGAATCTTTCCCAACAGCAGCAGTGCCTGTGGCAGCGTGCACTCAGCAGCAAAGCTGAAGTCTTGAGGCAGTGCTTTTAGGTAGCGTTGCCATTCTCTTCTCTCTCATACCTTTGTGTTAACTGTGTTTACATTAATTTTCTGCTCTTTTCCTGTGTGCTATCAAGCCTCTTTTATGTTTCTAGCCACTCATAATTCCACAAAATTTCAGTTTTAAGCTTGTACGCCCCCAAGACCCAAACAAAACAAGCTGTAGGTGGCTGGTTTTTCTTTGTCATGTTTGTGGTGGTTTGTTATTTAGTTTTGTTGGTTTTATTTTAAACTGGAAAACGGTACTCTAAAATGTGGCACCCCACCCACTGACTGCATACAAAAGGAGGTTTTCAATTGACAGGAGAGTTAACATTCTTCCAAACCTCAATGCAGAGCATGTGTAATTATGCTAAATCGTTGTTAGAAGCTATTTTAAAAGGAAACGTCTGCCATCTGAGATTGCTCTATATGTATATATTTCAGACATGTCAGCTTTGTTAAAGTCTCTTACAATGCAGCATTATAAATATCAGCAGAATAAGCTGCCCTCACCCACTTTAATGCACTGCAAGTGTGGCAGTGGACGTTTGTCCTCCCTATCTTGCTGCAATTTTGTATGGAGCTTCAGCTGTCCTGCGTCTCAATATTTGAACTGCTTGTTTTTAAACCTACACACCTTTCTGATGGTGCCCCTTTCCTGAGCGATCATGCTTCTTGGTGTTCTCACATCAGCCCCTAAGTCCAGTATTTAACACAAAATTTGGGCTCCTGCAGCTCCTCCTCTTCCTTCAGCCTGCAGAAGGGCTGATCATTAAGGCACCCACCTAATTCCAGTTCTCCCAGTTGTGAGGTAATCAGCTCATTATGCCAATGATAGAAAACTGTAATATATGTGCTATGATTAACAATATTTTTTTCTTTATATGAACAAAAGGGGTCATTTAATGCTCAAACTATTTCTGGTCAGCGGAAGGTGCGCTCCTTTCCTCAGGATCAGAGATGAAATCATTACAGATAATTGACAACTTTGCTTTGCATTTTAAGTCTGCTTAATACAGTTATTTTCCTTGGTGGCTGTCAGAAAGAGAAAAACAAACAAACAAACAAACAAACAAACCAGCTCAGTATGATATTGTACAGAATAACATGAATTAGAATTGCCACATAATTATATTTTGTGCACGTCTCCCCTTGATCCTCCCTTCTGAATAAGACTTGGAAACAAGCAGTGATTATCTGTTCCTCACAAATCCTTCCTATGGAGCACATGGACCATAAACTAATAAAGGTTTAGCTCTTCTTCTTTCTGAGAGAGGAAATAACTTGTGCAGCAATGAAACATTCATTAAAGAACTCCAAACAGGAGTAGAAAATTAGAAGGTTAGGTTTAAGAACATTTATTTCCCACAACTAGGGAAGGGCTTATGATTCTATAGGCTGGAACAAACAAGGGCTTCTTTGTGCTTCCCTTTCTTCTGAGGGTGCACAGAGTGACAGTAGGTGCATTTGTATCTCGTCCCTCCCGAAGGAATACACTCCACACAGTCTCTTCTAGTCTAAAGGCCACCTTCATCTTTGCTGTGTGCAGTTCTGCAGCTTTCCCCCATCTCAGTAAGAATACAACAGAACTGGAAGAATATTTGAGTAAGGGCAACAAGGACAAATGCACAGGAACTGAATTTCAGAACAGTGAATTGTAAAGGTAGAAAAGCAGCTCTTTATGAAGAGGACACTGCTTCTGGTGATGGGAAAGCAATGCAAACAATAAAAGCAGGCAAAGAGAGTGCCAGGTCTCTTTGAAATCAGTATAAATAACTGATAATATATAATTTTTATTATATAGTAATAGAATTAATATAAATAATATACTACATATAATATATAATAGTATAATAAATAACACTATTTCTCTTTTGTATTTACATAGCATAGTTCTTGATACATGCAAAACTAATTTTCAGTGCATTTCTTATTGCAACAGAACAGACATGCTGCCCTTCCTGCTTCATCATTTCGCCATTTCATGAAAAAACTTCTGGCAAATCTAAAAGTGGTGTAAGAGTCTCTTTGCTTGGTAAGGTGGAACTGCTAGTTTGAAGCTGTCTGCTTTCACATCATGAATTCATAGAAACATGTCTGTAAGTAGCAAGGAGCTTCTGCATGTCTGCAGTACAGCTTTCTGCTCAAGGCACGTCCCGTTAGAGCAGGTTGCTTCAGCTGAGATGTACACATATGTACCTCTATAGATGTATTTATTAGATGTAAGTAGACATATAGGTTTTGTTTATTAGATTTTCCATGTTGCAGCTTATTACCGTTTGCCCGTTGTTCCAAGCTTCTCCTTCTCTACAACCCTCTCGCCGTCATCATCTTTAAAGCTAACCAAACCCACCTCCATCAGCTTCTCTCTCCCTGAGCCCTCCGGTGGCCTTCACTGGTCTCATTTTAGTAGACAAGCATGTGTCTTCTATGTGTCCAAAACTATGGACAGTGTTCCAGATGTAAGTCTCATGGGTGACAAGTAGGTGGGAAACATGATTTTCTTCCAACCCTACCGGCTGTACTCAGCCCAGTGTGCAGCTGGACACATTTGCTTGCAAGGCCACACAGCTGACTCGTCCACTGTGACCCCTGGCTAATCTACCAAGCTGCTCCCTAGACAGCTCCCAGCCTGTCCTCCCACACAGGGTTGTGTCAGCCCCTGTACAGGGCTCTGTCTGAACTTCACGAGGTCCTGACAGCTCATTTTTCCAGTCTGACCAGGGCCATCTGCAGCAGCCCTGCCCTCCAGTGTATCAGCCACTCCCCCCAATTTGCTATCGCCCACAAACTTGGTGAGAGTTCACTTGATCCCAGCATCCTGGTCATTACAGCAGCCAATGCAGGAACCCAAGTTGATGTAACCTCTATAAAAGAAAGCAAGTCAACCATCCTTACAGTGTTATGCTAGAGCTTTCAACTTCTGTTTTACAAAAACTAATGGAAGAGTTGCATTGCTTTAACTCTTCCTACTGAGGTAGAAAAGTCAAAAGCAGCCCTAGGATCCACGGGAAGCAGGCCTGGGTCTCTTCTGTTACAGCAAATGCTGTAACACAGAACTTGATTTACAGCATGTAGTAAATCCTCTGGAACAGACAGATGGGTGTCAAAACTCGAGAGCTAAGAAAGTCAGAAATTATTTATAGATTCCTTCACCACAATCTGCTAATTTGTGGCTTTGCTCAAAGACAGATGATATTTCCATATTGTAAAAAAGGACAGTTTTGCATAAATATGTGAATGGTGCTCCAAGAACACACTTACAGTTTGTTCTTTGCCTGGGTGATGGAAGGCACAGGATGGACTTTGTGCTGGTAGCCATCACAGTTGAGGAGAGAGCAGAATCTGGAACAGAACCAAACCAAACAAAAAAAAAAAGCCTGATGTAGAAAAGAATGCTGTAGGAGTCATTTAGCTCCTCTTCACACACTGTAACTGTAAGCCAGTTTCAAGAACATTTATGTAATAACAGCCTTTCTAGCACACAGCTGTTATGTGCAGCTCTGCACTGGCACAGCATTGCTACGGAACGGGCACGACTCACTACAACAGCACTATAGACATGGTTCCCAAAATTCTCTCCTGTACTCAGAAGCTTCCGAAGACATTCCAGGTTGTACGATACCAGGATAGACTGGTGCAATCTTAAATTGAAACTGGATTGTGTTCTCTATGCCAGAAGTGGATTTATGAGATGGTACCAAGAAGCATCACAGTCTGGTTCAGTGGAACATTTTCTGATCCTTCACGTGAGTCTCTCTGTCCAAATTATGCCTTATAACCCTTACAGCTTATGGAACAACATCCCCAACAACACGAGCTGAAGAAAACATTGGTAAACAGGAAGCATTGGTGTGAAAAAGAACAGAGGAGGGGTAGGTGAAAGAGAAGTCAGCCAAACTTCTAAGAAGTGAGAACAGAGGCTGCACATTCCCAAACAAATTCTGGAAGAGACTTTGTTCAGTGAAGATGGTGGTAAAAAGGTTGACTGTGCACTACTGGGACATCGGGTACCTGGAGGAACATAGAAAGGGGTGCAGGCCAAACCTGTGTCCCTGCCAGTGTTTGAGAAAACCCAACTCAGAACCATTTGCCACATACGGCAATCATACGCAGTCCGTTGACTTGCTGCTGGGAAGGAACTCTTCGGATTTAATTATTCTGATACCTTCACAGTGAGGAACATTTTTTCTTTACCAGATTTCTTCCAGGAACTGGTGTTCTAGAACCTAACTTGGGAGTTAAGTTGGGGCACTGGACATCAAAGTGTGCTTCCCCAGCTCTGTACCTCTCACGTGAGACCACAAGCAAATCACCCCGCTTCCATTTCCATCTCTAACAATGGGGAAAATAATTTCTTCCACTGTTCGTTCTTAGTTCAGTTTGCTTAGTTCAGTAATCCAGCAGATAGGAAATATGTCACACGGAGTAATCATAACATGCTTAACATAGTAGAATCCTGATTTTGTAGGACTTATCTTATATACCTACACGCCCTGATACTACAATCATCATCAGCACCAGAGATGGTCATCATAGCTAAGCGATGAGTACGTCCGTAAGGACACACAGGTACGTGCACGCCAACCTTGGCCAAGGTCAGTGCTTTCTGATTTCTCAGTTAAAACAGCTGCTTTTACTAAATAAGAAGTGCTAACGGAATGAATTCTGTTGCCTGAAAAATGCAGCTGTGCAACCGCTCAGCGCAGACACACCTGCGCGCCGTGCTCAAAATCGCCGCCTTCTCCTGCTGGCTGGAAGCCAATCACTGGCACTCGCAGTGATGCTATTCCAGGCTGTGCTGACACGTTTTTACTCGGTTGTCTCGCTACATGTGCAGACTAAAGCTCCCATTCTATACGTAAGGAAACTGAATCACAGACACTGAAAAAAAGTAAACTTGCTGAGCCCACTTAACAAGTTTGCCCATATTTTTACGCTGCGAATGTTCCCTACAATGATAAGTCTCAATTACATTCATCTATTCCTCAGAGTTCAAAACAACTTAAAACTGCCACTGAGTGCACGCAGCCTTGGTTGAGGATATTTGAAAAGCAAATGCTTCTCCCACCCTCACACAGCTCCAGTTCACATAAAGTGAGAATTCATGAGTAAGAAAGTAGGCATCACCTGTGACATAGAGCTTACACCAGGTCACCAGGTGCTTCAGAAAGAAGGAACACCAGAAAGCGTGGATATAACACTTGCAGTACTTAAATATCATTTAAAAATGTAGAGGGAATGTGAAGTCTCATACATAAGCTTCAAATGCTTGTAGCGTTTTTTCTTAGCTGTACAGCATGGCAATTAACTTGCAACCCAATTCCTTGAATAAAATGTTTCCTATCATGAGATTTTTTTGCCCCGGGTTCATGCAATGCTCTCCTCCAAACTTTGATCACAATTCACATGAAACAGCACTCCTGACTTGCATCCCTTATTTCATTTCTTCATACAGCATCACACTGCGTCTTCGTCTGCCTTCTGACAGCAGCTGCAGTCTGAGCATGTCAGTCTCACGTGATTCTTAGCAGTGATTCTGAGATTACTGCCCTTCCCCCAGAGAACAATGTTTTTCTAACTCAAAGATGACACGTGGGGTAGCATATATAATGACAGAGGAGTGGAAAAGGCACTCACAGACACGATCACCACCGATAGCCTCAAAGATTCTGCAGAAATCAGTTTCTGTGCTCTCTACAGAAAGAGCAGCTGTGGAATCCCTGATAGCACGCTGTCGACCTCTCTCCTGTTGTAGTAGAGCATTTCTCAGGGCCGCAGAATACCAACAGGATGGCTCTGTTTCCATTCAAACTGTTTATGTACAATTTCTGCATGTGCCACCTCCCCTCAACGTTAATGGTTTGTTGGTTTGTTTGCTTTTCATGGCAGCTGGGTAACGCACACGTGATACTTAGAGAAGAATTAGCCAGCTTAGATGAAAAATCCTCGTCAGCTGCACTAACCCAGCAGCAGCACATGGCACCCCGTCTCCTGAAGGGCAAACATACCAGACTATCCACGTTGCTCCCTTGGACACTGTTCTCACTGTCATATCCGATGGCATGCTGGATGGGACACTGTTCAACTGGAAGTTTCACTAAACTGCTGTTGAGAGCTATTAGAACACTGTAATAGGTGTGACTTACTGACCGGAAGAGTCAGTAAACAAATAATGTACAAGTGACAATACAAAAATAGTGCAACAGCAATTAGCAGTGTGACTCCATGAGTAATGAGGAAATTGCTTTGACCCACTTGATGGCGGTAGCGACAAAATCTCAAAAATAAATCAATTCTATCCCAAAGTTACGGATTTTCTGTTGTGACATCAGCAACACCTTTTCCAGGTCACCGACAACAGCGATGTTTGCCACAGGCCGTTCTCTCTCTGACACGCGAGCCCACGGGAAGCAGAGCAGGAGCTGCGCTGCACGGCGCCGGCAGCACCGCAGGTTTGGACGCACGGCAGCACGTGGCCACCGCGTCCCGTCCATCAGGAGCGGCCGCGCAGGCAGCTGCCAGCAGAGCACAGCGCAGCACCCCGGGCCACCACCCGCCATCCCTCCGTGCAGCACAGCTCTCAGCCGGGCGCCGCGCTTCCTTCTGCTCTGCAAGGTTCGCTCCGCGACCGCGTCTGCTTCAGGCACGGTGCGCAGCTTTGCCTGGGCTGCCATGGACGTGCTGGCGTTCTGCGTGCAGCTGCGCGAAGGCACACCGACATCGGTGCCTCCCCACCGGCCTCCTCTGTGCCAACACAAACATCCAGAGCGCGGACCGGCGGCAGCGCAACAAAACCAAACCCGATCAGTCTGTGCATGCTTCCTGTCCTCTGGAATCAGACCATGTATGATTTCTACTTCTGATGGAAAAGGAACGATATCTAAAACAGAAGTGAGATTATTTTAAGGCAAAAGAATAATTCTTCAGTATGCATATGCAAAAATATTCTATTTCTTTGGTGAAAATACTGTTCACTACAAAACCAAACAAATAAACAACCTTCAGGCTGCTTTCCAATTGTAAGATGACTGAGAACGAGTTCTCGTTTATCCCATTGAAAGAAAGAAACCACTGTCTTTCTTTCTAACTTTGAGTTTATCCCCAGTGGTGTTCCCATCCCAAAGGGTGCCAGTGCCGCAGGAGAGAAAGCCAACACCAAAACGAAGGCCCAGCATAGCGAGGGCTGGGACTGCGGGGAGCATCGGCATGGAACGCAGCAGTTTCCACACAGTTATCAAAGGCGTGATGAAAAAATCACAGCACAACAGTGAAGGGAAGTTGTATAGAAGTGGCACTGTGCACTGAGAGGGGCAATGAACGGTGGGAAGGTGGCATCCTGCTGTTTCAATATAACTGCAGAGTTAGAAGGGGAAAAAGGGAAAAAAGACCAAAAGATGACATGACTGGGAAAAAAAAAAAAAAAAACAAAAAACGCCCCACGGCAGAGCATCCCTCCAGGATAAGGCTGCTTGGCTGGGAGGCTCCACGCTCCTCTCCCCGCAGCCCCGCTCCGCCAGCGCTGATCAACCGCCCCGGCGCCGCAGCTCCGGAGCGGAGCGATCGGGCGCGTTACCGCCGGCGGAGCTCCCGGGCCGCAGCCGCAGCCCCTCCCTTCTGGCGGGACGGACAGAGCGCGGTCCGCGGCCCCGGCTGCGGGGACCCGACCGGGGCAGGAGCAGCAGCCCTTTATAGCCGGCTCACACCTACACGCCGCTGCCAGAGCGCTGCAGCGCTGCCCGGAGCCGCGTCCCCGCCCGCCGCGCCGCACATGGAGCCCCGCCGCCCGGCCCCGCTGCCGTTGGTGCTGCTGCTGCTGCTCGCCGCCGGTGAGTGCCGCTTCCCGGGAGCTGAGGCGGGGGTTGGGGCGGAGCGGGCAGCCCTCGGAGAGACGCGGCGAGGCGCATCTTCCCTCCCGAGAAGCGGCCGGCCCGCTGCGGCCGGGAGAGCCGCCTGTCCGCTGCCGGGCATCACGGAGCTGCCGCGCTGGAGGTCCTTTGACTCGTCTTCCCTTTACTCTTAAACTTCATGTTTCAAGTTCAGGATCTCCAACCAGACTGCAGCCCGCACGTAGGGCAGCCGGCTGCTCGCCCGCCGAGGCGCCGTGCCGGGACACATCGTAGGCGCTGCTCGCGGCGGCACGGCGCAGAGCGAGGCGGGCGCAGTGAATAAGGTACGGGTGGGTCAGTAATTACAGGACCCCCACCTCCTGCCTTACCCTCGCAGACAACGCACTTAGCAAATATTTAATTTTTTGGCTCCTGCTTATTAAATAGGTGTCCCGTAATAGAGAGCAGTTGTAATAGTTTACAGTTCATTTCTTCATAGATTTTCTGAGGTACTCATCAATGCAGAACCTGACTGAACGTATTTCTTCCATGCTCCTGTGGAGCTATATACCCTCCTTTCTAAGCAGTTAGTGCACAGAAAAGCATCCACTAATTTTAGGTTCCTGCGGTGTCGTGAAAGAACCCCACACTATTTAGCACTGCCCCACGACAGAGCGCGGCACAGCCCGGCTCTCACTGCGCCCCCTCGGCCCCCAGCCCAGGAGCACCGGGCGCAGGCATGGAGCGCAGGCAGAGCGCGGCTCAACAGGCAGAGCGCGGCTCCTGCTGCACCGCTAGGATAAAAGCCACTTTTCCAGAAGAGCACTCAGCTGCCTAAAGAGATTCTCCTTTGTCTTCCTGCACTTCTTCACACGTCCCACTCATTCCTGAAGCAGGTCCTCTGTACAAGCTGAGCAGGGGCTGGGGGGAGGAAGGAAGGGCAATCACAGGATTAAAGACCAGGGAAGGCGCTCACACGATGGGGCCAGCAGAAGGTCCCACTGGACTCACTGCCCCAATTCCACTTCCTGACCTCAGCGTGCCCCTGTTATTCTTTCTGCACTTTGTTCCTCCTCCAAGCCTTCATCCTTGCTTGGTCCAAACCTCAGCAAGAACATCAAGGGAAGCGATGAAAGACTGTTTCACTGCTTGTGGCAGCCTGGAGTGATCATTACAGAGAGGGCCTGCCTTCAGCCTGATGGCTCTGAGTCAGGCTTCGCACTCACCCGTTCCGTAGGCAGGGAGCAGGGAGGGAAAGGTAATTTACCTCTTTCTCAATGCTTGTGCTGCACTATCAGGCAAATGTATCTGTCCAAAGAAGTTTGCTATTTCTATAAGCTGTAGTTGTGTATGGCAGTAGTCTGGGCAAAGAGATGAGGTGAGAAAGGCCGTTCCTGAGGGCTTATGAAACCAGTGGACAAATCTAAGCCAGAAAAAGAAAAGAAGTGGTAACGCATACAGTTTGAGGGCATCCACTCCTGGCAGGACCTGGGAGATGCATCAGAAAAACTGCTCACTCCTAGTTCTCAACCTCCAAACTACTGGAACACTATGACCTTACAAGAAAACATCACTATAGGTAATCCTAAATATACTTGACATCAAAAATGTTTCTGTGGCCTCCGCCTTTGATAGCATGGCTTAGAATTTCTTGTAAAATCCACATGGACTATACAGGATGCCAATGATTAATGCAGCTGTGTATCTCAGTTCACGTAAAGCTCTGTATCTCAATAAAAATACAGTATCGAAAAACTTTGCGACCCTTGCAAAGGGAAAAAGGTGTAGGAAGTACAGCACAACACAAAAGACTATGCTTCTTAAGTGCCTTTTTCCCCCCACATGCAAACAGAAATTTAAGGGACTGCTGTTTGTTTGTTTGTTTTAAATATTATTGCAAGGTAGGCAGCCAGAAAGCCAGGAAAAATTATATAGGAAGGTGTGGCAGAAAATATCTTGCAAAGACATGATAATCATGACACAATGTACAGCACAATCCAAGTTCTCAAGGGCCTGCATAGGCAGCAATCCAGAAGTTTAAGCTCCAATGGCAGGACTCCAATGTGGGCAACAAAATTACAGATTTGAAATCAAGCGCAACACAACCATAAAGGATTACCTGGTGCTACTTTCTCTCAGCCTGTTCTCTCTCTACTTGCTCTCAGGCTGTCTTCACTTACTTAATTTCACTCTTCAGAAAGCCATGCACAGCCTCTAATCTCCGTGACTTAGTTATTAAAATCACAAAGACAACTGCAGAGTTTGTCAAACAGCAGTGGGGACAGAAGCAGTGCCTAGAGCCATGCTGGGATTGGTATGGATTTGTTTTCCCTTTGACCTCCACTTGTAAAGCGGCTGCCTGGCACCCATTTACGTGGACAGACCTCCTCAGGGCTTTGGGGCTGGTCTGGCTTTCACCCTCCCCTCCAAAAACCCTTCTCTAAAGCTTTATCTCATCAGCTGAAATTTCAGCAAAGGCAGTCACAATTCCAGATACGTGATGATCACAGGAATTAAATATTGCAAGCTTTTTGAAAGCTCTAACTGTCTAGACTCAAACTGTCTCGCTGCAGAGTATCTTTGTACACTTGCTTGTACTTATTTCCTGTGACCTCTGCATATCACAGCAATGCATTTGTAATTTCTCGTACACATCATTAAGCCAACAAATTAAACCCAGTCTGGTTCCCTCCCTTTTTCCTCAGCCACAGTATTGTCTCCAATGCAGCCACACACGATTTGCACGACAAAAAAGAAAACTCACAGACAAATAAGATCCATTCCACGCTTAAAAACAGGAGTTACCCCCAAATGGCCTAGTAAAAGCATGGCTGCTTTTTCAGGAATGCACAATGGAACCCTCGGGGATATTCCCATCCCGACAAGAAATGAGCAACCGCTGTAACAACAAATGTCACAGAACAACTTAAAAATGCATCTTAATCATAAACTATGTGGAATTGCACAAGTATGTCACTCCACTTTTCAATTTTTGGATTTTATCCCACAGAAGTTCTGATAAAATATTCTGGAAATGGTTTTAGGCTGCTTATACACTCATGCAACCCTTACCATGCTGATACCCTTGCTGCTTCTGTAGTTCTGCGGGTTCCAGGAGTCTCCTTCATTGCTGCCGTCACACTCAGGTCACAGCGCTCTTGCAACAGACCTTTCCTGCAGTCATATTCACAGCACCTGGTACTGCGCAGTCTTGGTTTGCACCTGGATGACTAGGAGCTCTAATATAAACAAACTGCAAGAACAAGTTTGTTTCCTTTTCTTTAGCTTACATGGCACACTTCCGGGAATTACACTTGAGCTCCCCAGGGAGAACACAGTTCACTGCTTCCACCTTACCTGGATTTAAATAAGGGATTGGGATTTCTCCAAAGTTGGCAAACAATTCCCTGATGCAACCAGGAATAGAATTTACAAAGTCTTGCCTTTGTCTTCCTGTTCTCTACCCCTCCTGCATCTTCTTTCCCCACTGCCCAGGAACTGCTACACTCCGTAAATTCTTCACTTCCCTCAGGGGTTTCCTCAGTTACAACCATCACTCAAGCAGCCCCAGCTTTGCCATCAACTGCTGTCACAGTTCCTTTGGCCACCACACAACTCCAGCCAAATCTCCCCAAACACTCAGGAGTGCAAGCTGCTCCATTTGTAGCACTGCAGTTGCTCTGTAAGTTTTTTTTCAGCCAGGAATGCACTGCGTGTGAAAGTAACTCTTGCAATGCTGTTGTAGAGATAACAGTTTGGTTATGCCTCAAAGGTACTCTTCTACTACCCAGAGCTGAAACCTGTTACTTCAGAGCTGCAAAGGAAGCAGACATGACCAGGTATCCACAAGAGCACCACAGAGATTCCAGAACAGTCTCTGAAGTCCTGATATTCATTATCATAGCTAGAAGAAAAAAACGAAAATGCTGTGTCTGAGTATTTCATCCAATACAAAGTAAACAGTTTTTCTTCCACAGTTTATGGAGGCACTTTGGGGGAAGCCCACGTTAGGAACCGAAGAGGAATTCTTGAATTAGCTGGAGCCATCAGATGCACTACAGGGCGGTCTCCTTTTGCCTACCTACGCTATGGGTGCTACTGCGGCCTGGGAGGAAGGGGATGGCCCAAGGACAGAGTGGACTGGTAAGCATAACTTCTTATCTGGGTAGCAAAGTGCTGAATGCTTGCAAATACCAAAGCAAGAAGTCTGAATTGTCAGTTAGGCCCAGTTAACATCAACGTGGAACTGAGTTTAAACACAGTTCAGAGTGCTAAGAAACCGTGAAGCATTAAAATGGCATTGGTGTAGATCTATGTGAGTCTTCAGCTGAAATTCTTACCTTGCCAACACTGGCCTCACAGTACAACATAGTTTCCTAGCTGTTACTGCTTGGCCAAGAGCTGAAGAACTAAAGACTTCTTGGAGAAGTTTTAAAAGCACAAACATTCAGTCTATTAAAAAAAAAAAAGGCATTGAAAAAATCTTTTTATTTTAGTTCTGCTCAGCCCACTCTATTAGTATTCAAAATAAGACACAAAACTGTGTGAAATTCAATCTGATAAAAATAACATTTGAGTAAAAATAATAACAAGTTCTTACGAAAATGAGCATGAAAAACAGTCCTCATATTTAGCACTAGGTCTCATTGCACTGACTGGCATTAATTTAATTTATAATTGAACATTAGCTGACAGGAAGATGATTTCCTGGTGACAACAGTTACATAAGGGTTCACATTTTCAAGCTTACCATTACAGTGATGCACCTCCCCACCACACACTGCAGCTCAAGTTCCCACTTAGCAGACAGGTACTACTGTAAATCAGAAGGAAAACACCTGATGTTTACCACTAGAGCAGAACATACAGAAAGCCAGTATCTGAAGCTTTTGTGGTCAGACCTTACACCTCTAGAGCCTTTGCCAACGTATTTCAGGCCTTTGGGTATAAAATGCTATTATTCTCGAGGCTGCTACTTTGATGGCTGGAACACATAGGAAAAGAAGGCCCTGTTCTTGGTCACTTACATATCTGAAGATAAGGATGGAGCATTTGCAGTTTGCCAGTCTTGCCTTGTAGGTCCGATTTTCACTTCTGTAAAGTCCCATGGTAACAAGAAGGCTCCTCTCAGAGCACGGCTCATTATTTGTGGCTGGGTTTTAGCAGCCACATGGCACTAAGAACAAGGTAGAAGTGAGCATGTTTACTCTGCTTCTGCATTTGATCAGGAACAGTGCTAATTAACGCGTAGCATCAAACGCTCTCACCAAGTATTTCTTAAAGTTATAAGCTGTCCTGTGGACTGCTTACATTCAGAATGCGATCTGCTAACAAGTAAATTATTCACATAATAGTTACTGCCTCTTAGATGTATCCCTATCACTTATAAACGTGCACATGGAGACAACTGCTTTCTGTATTGCTTTTACAAGACAACATCTAAAAATCCAGAAACATGTTCTATTCTTCAAAGGCTTAAAAGCTATTGTAAAAAATTAAGCCATATTTTTGTAGACTACCATTTTTTGTAACCACATGAAGACTGGCACAAAGCTGTGGCAAAAGCAGCCCTGTTGCTGGGTCATTCCTGTTAGTCCTGCTACCAACGCTCCGAGTGCAGATTTTTGATTGTTTTTTTTTGGAAGACTTATTCCTACCTAGAATGGATGCACTGAGCTACTTCACAGGCATTGTGATGGTCAACTGTTCAGCACTGCAGGATGTTTAAATGAAGATTGGTAATCATTTAATAAGCATGGGGAAAAAAAAAAGTAGTAATTGCAAGTGGGAAAAAGTGCTGTGAGCTCTATTGCAGACAAGTTCCTCAGGCAAGCTGAACACCACCTAAACATCACGTGCCTACAGTAATACGATGCTTTTAGGCGGAAATGGAGTGACTGAATACAAAGAGCTCACTGATACATCCTGTTCTTCCACTGAGTCAAAAAGAGCAGCTGGTTTGCAGTAAGACATCTGGGCTGATATGCTATGGCCTAACAGGTCCGCTGTTAGCAACTGCTACAATAACATCAACAATTGGAAGAAAAATAAGGCAGTTATTATCTGGCAAACTGTGCTGGTGTTTAATCATCACCTAGAGAGATGCTGCAGAAAGGGCTTACCTTCTGAAGTAGTTACTTTATTGCAAACTGAAAACATTTCAGATTCTCATGGATGAAAACACAGGGGAAGTTCAATGAGTTCAACACGTAGCAGACACTTCAATCATAATACAGGCAAAATGTTCTTCATCATACCTACTAACCAATTACCTTGTTTTGATTCCTGAGTAGGTAACTGTTTGCATGGATTATTTCATTCCTATCACCTATAGAAACGTGCCACTCAAAACCATCCAGATACGTGGCTGTAAATTACCACAGCATGCATTAAGGCAAGCCCGTTTCTGTTATTCCTAGGTGCTGCTTTAACCACGACTGCTGCTACGGTAAGGCAGAGCAAGCAGGCTGTCACCCCAAGATAGAAAGTTACCACTGGGAATGCGAGGACAACACTGCTGTGTGTGGTGAGTGGACAGCTCTGGCTGTGGGTTTAGTTTGACTTGTACCAATTGTCTCAGGGACTTCACAGAAAGACATTCATTAACTAACCACAAAATCCTTACTCTGCCTTCCCTCCATTTCTGACTTCTTTGCCAGAGCAGGCTGTGTTTCCAGAAAGTACGGCTCTCCAACCGAATCCAATTTCCTCTTCTAAATTCCCACTTGCTGACACACAACCAGAATTCCAGTCTGCAAGTTTCCAGTACTCTTTCAGTAGCACTAAAAATCCGGACCAAACGCACAGCACAGAAATGACGCTGGCCACCTTTTCACTCCAGCTACAGACAGCTGCCGTGTCTGAGGGAGCCCACGTTACACCACACCCTGCCCCACACAGACCCTCTACTCGCTAATTTCCTCCATTGCTCCGATCCTTCAATTTCTTACCGAATTCCCTAGTAAAGAGGAAGTGGCAGTAAGCAAGGGGAGGTGGGATTTAAGCTGAAAATGGAGCATTCTTGCATCCTTTATTGCACATATGCAATTTTTAATGCTACATCCTGTAACAGATCAAAGTGCACGTGAAATGGAAACGTTTTTCCCGATTTCTGCCCCAGAAGGACATGCAGGAGGGGCACCCACCGCTTCCCAAAGAGGAACTGTTTATCAGAGTTCCTTTTGAAAGGCACTACAGATGTTTTGCTGAAGCAAACCATGCTTATGTATCCTCTATTGCTGAGCTGTCCTTGCATGGAGCTCAGTCTGAAGATGGAAGAATTCCTAATACACGAAAGCGGTGCATTACTAAAGCTTAGTGCAGTTCCTATTGCATTTCGACTACAAGAGCAAAATGAAACATTACTGCTGTTCTATGAAAGGTAATGAACACCATATGGTGAACGTGGGAGGCAGTAATTGTACTTTCATTGGGTATTTTTATTATTACTACTTCAAACTAGAATCAAACCTACTTTGTTTTCTTTCAGAATCACTAGAAGACAAGTGTCAAAAAATGGCATGTGAATGTGATCGTGAAGCTGCCAAATGCTTTTCTAAAGCTCCCTACCATACCAAGTACCTCCTGTGGCCAGATATGATGTGTGGTGAGGTTCAACCTTTGTGTAGATATTAAATACACAACATCAGCCCCTATGAAAACTCTGTACTTACTCGAAATCTGCAAAGATGGCTTTTGTCACAGTAGTGATAGGAAATGATTTTTCTCTTTCTCGTCCTTCCCTCCTGCCACTCCTCTGCCTTAGAATGGCCAAAGTAAACACTTCTCTTCTTATTTACTTTCTACAATACATGGACAAAAACCAAGTTCAGTAATTTGGTTTAAGCGTTTCTTTACTAAGCTCAAATTCTTCTTTAGTATTTATCAGTTTAAGGTGTAATTGACTGATTTGTCTGAATCACAGAATGGCTTGGGCTGGCTACCTTTCCCATCAGAGTTTGATCTCACACAACAGCAGTTTGCACAGTTCAGGAGCTTGTAACTCACAAGGACATAAAAATGGCTTCAGCTTGTTTCCATAGTTTTGGGAGACATTTTAAGAAAAGGAGAAGTCAGTAACAAAACTACTGACAAACATTTTTCTGTAACCGATAACTTTAACAGCTTAAGAGCAAGGAATGGTTCATCTTCATCCACCTCAACTTATTTGTAGTGAGAGGAATACAAAACAAATACAAGAAATGCAAGTCAAAGGTAATGTCAAATACTTTGATATAAAATAAATAAATAAAACTTCTTCAGGAAGGACTATGATTTAAAATGATATCTTTAATCTTTAAAAAATATTCGTAGGCAAATTTAAAGCTCATACTCATGATACAAATGCAAAAGCAAAACCAAAAAAACCTCACAACACATAATGAAAGGTCAAAAACCTTACATCAGTCAGTGGCAATCCATTTATACAAAACAGTCCATATCTCCACTCAGTGTTCATTCACAGACCTAAATACACACCTTTCATTGCAGTAAGGCATAATTACAGTGTCAGGTCACTTATCCAAAATAATCCTTTTAAGAGCTCATTGTGAATTTAAGGATTAGCAACAGATTTTAAGAGAGCATTAAAGAAGCTGTTGATGAATTCTAACTGATCTGAACAGAACAAAAAAAAAACATGTGAACAGCAATTGCCATATTTTCCATAGGCCAAAGCTTGGTCTTTGCCATCTACGCAGGGAATTTTAGAACAACCTCACTGTGCGTTTCTCAGTCAGAACTTCACACGTAAAGCAGGCTGAAAGCACCAAAGTACTTCCAATATCAAGCCTATCCTTTCAGCTTTCCTTCAGCAAACTCAAGTTCTGCACAACACACTGCTGGTGTGGAACAGTAAGTTGAAAACATCACCACAGCTTTCCAGAAAACACTGATTTTATGACAGAACAAAGAAGTACTGTTTGATCAAAAATACAACTTAACTAAGTTTCACGTGGCTAAATCAGGAATATATTTGTTTTTATTAACTACAAAAATCATTTGGGGTAATAAAGCCCATCCTCAGACTTGGAATCAGCTGTTCAACAGTAACTTACCTCACGGCTTTTTCATATGTTTAAGTTAATGTAATCTACTTTCACTGCCACATTATAAAAGGAAAATAAAAACACAAACCAAAGTTTCTTTTGAAGTAAGCATTTTTGGAAACTAACCAGCTCAAAAGTTCGATGTCAGTCATTGCACTTGTGTCTCCAGACGCCTTACTTCTTTAACTACAAGATCAATGTTTATAATTGGGTTGAAGTACAAGGCCCAGTAAAACAAACAATTGCAGACAAACTGAGGAATAACAGGCCAAAAAACTGCAACAAAAAGACCCTGGGTTGAGACTTTCCAAAAATGTTTCCACATTCTGTGAGGAATAGTCCTGTGGAAAAGGAAAGGGAGAGGCTTAGAGGCTTTACTTTTAACCATTCTAAGACAAGCTAGTATGTGTTTTAGCCTCAAATTATTTCACACCTACTCAAGTTTCTTATAAAAAACAGAATTCTTCACTCCACAAAAACTTACTTAAAACACACTAATATTACTTTTTATGTGAGGAAGCATTATGCCAATTTATTCAGACCACAAAGCACAGCAGTTGGATGCGGTAGAATTCCAGATTTGCCATAGATGATTTCCACACAGCCAGTTCTCTTTTGAAGATGCTCTGCCCCCTACCTGCTGGCAAGAGCAGCAACTCCATATGTGCCAAAGCAAGAATTTCTCCACAAAACTTTTAAAGAATTATAACCAAGAGATCACAGCAATTATGAAGTGATATTAATGCATTAAAGCAGCGATATCTGTCCAATTAAATATCCTTCAATAACTATCCTGTGAACATACCATGACTGAGCTCTGACGTATTTAGCTCTCAGCTGCCAGATAACACCAGTTATGCTAAGAGGCAGTTAAATAAAACCACTGCATTTACTACATCTGATCAGTAAAACCAGCTGTAGGAAATCCTTTCAAATATCCACAGCAACAAAAATATTCAAAAGCGAGTATTACATGTGCAGATTCAGACTTGCATCTTATTATCATTTTCAGTAAGCCCCTCATAACAGACCTATTTTCCAGTTTATAGTGTACTTCCTACATCCCTCAACAAGCTCAGTAAGACTTACTTCAATTCTCTTCTTGACCAGAGCTTCCAAAAGGAGAATAGTTCCAGAACAGAGAGTAGCATGGCATTGACAATGATAAATCTTGATGTCCAGTAGTGCACATCCAGCCAGTCCCAAGCAAATTCAGCTACCAACTGGTATGGCAAAAATATATACTTTACAATGAATTCTCTCCACTGTTTCCAAGTGGGATCTTCAAGGTCCTGTAAATTAGGATAAAAAGTGTTAAATAATTTCCTGCTAAATAGACAATACTGGCTTATTTCCACCGTTCCTTTACTGATCTCCTACTGGTTTTTTATTTGTTTAGTAAATTCAAAGCAGTAATTAATCTTTTTTATGATTTCAGTAGATAATATCGTAACCCAGTAATTTCAATTAATTAGCCAAAACATGACAGCCAGACAGACGTTATCACCCCATTTTTTCAGTGAAGATATTTTCAGTGAAAGGTCTTTCTACACTCATGTGAACTTTTTTTTTTTTTTTAAAGATGAAAAAATATGATAATAAGAAAATTAAGAAAATAAGAAAATTTCACAGACTTAAAACCTTAAACATCTTAAATAATTCTTAGTACAGGTTATGGTCACAACACTGCTAGTCCTGCATAATAAAGTAAAAGCAACAAGTTACTATTAAGATTTCTTTTTAAGAAGTTGCACTGCAAGGAGATGACATTATGAATAATTGCATCACACTTTTTTAAGCAACTGATTCTTAACATGCTTCAACCAAGTAGCATTTGAGCACTTACTAATAATTTTGTGACCACGTCTTCATATTGGTCTTCTTGCATAGGACAAATGGTGTGGATAAAAGGTAGGAAAGCTTCAGTATAATCAAACAGATATAAGTACAACATACTGAGTCTTGGAGAATTCTTGAGTGCATACAAAAGAAAGAGTGATTTTCCTGGATTTACTGCCTGAAAAGTATCAAATTGCAAACAATGAAAAGATGAAATGAAAGGTGCATGACAGTTCTTAGACTTTTCTAACAGTCATTTCTCAAAGGATCATTTTTTCAAATACAATAGTTGATTAAGCTAAGCAATTTTTACAAAGATAATTCTACTTCCCTAACAATCCTTTCGACTTTAAGAGAGTTGTCTTTGAATTATATGACTTAAAGTCACTTAATGTAGATGGTAGACTAAGAGAATTTACCTTGTACTCCCAAAGGTTCTGTGGTGGTTTAACACCTAAAGCTCTGACACATTCCAATTCTGCTGTAATTGCTTTTCTATGGTTATTGTTCTCTATACTGAAAGGCTCTTTTGTGAAATCCTCTTCTGTCAGCGTTAGAAGGAGCCTAAAAGGGCAGAAGAATTTTGAAAGCAAACAGTGACTCTCCACCAAGAAGATATGACTAACAAATCAGTAACTACATACTGAAACAATAAGCTACTGATAGAAGGTATCACCTTTTGGGTCACCTTTCATGTTCTGAATCAACTGCATCTCAGAAGCTGGGTTTTAAATATCCTTTTCAAGTTCTCTCTTGCCTGCTCTCAGCATGCAAATGTATGAGCTTGTTGGCTATTAATGAACACAGTTCTTCAGTACATCACAGATCTAGTCTGGTCTCCTGATATCAAACCTGGAGCTCTTCGGTCGAGCGCAACAATGCGTATAGCATATGCATGTTTTCACAGGAAAGAAAAGTGGAGGGGTGGATATTGCATTAATAGAATTTTATTTTCAGGACCATTTCAGTCTGCACTGTCAGTATCTAAATACGCTCTCAGAAAAACTTCAGTTAGGTTGCTAAGTATCTACTACTGCTTTCAACTACAAATACTAAAACTTCCCCTATATTTTATCTTGATACATCAACAGAATATTCCCCCCCCCACTATGGAACAAAGTCTGATTATTACAAAATGCACCATGCCTAATGAAAGCCACCCAGCAATTCACTCAGATGATAGCAGCTCCTGATAATTAGACCACTCACCTTCCATTCACTTTCTCCAGCAAAAATCTTTCTTTATAAAGAGAGGCCCAAGGGCCCAGCTGCTCCAGCCAAAGCGCCACTTCTTCAGCAGTCCATTTAGCAACAGGCTTGTGGACAAGAAGATCATCTTCAAGTTCTCTGCTACTCCAGTGATACCCAAGTAGTACTACCTACATGTAAATTAAAAATAAAACAAAGGAGGTTCTTTACCTGCAACGCAAATATATTAAATCATACAGATAAACATGCATTAGGGGCTTGACATGCAAAATCTTCCATCCTAAGGACCCTTCAATATTTAGGTTATAAGAAAATACCTTTTAGCCAATTTGTCTAATTTCCATTTGCTGTAAACTGAAACTGTACTCCTGGTACACAACTCTGACACAGCGCATTCACTCAGCTCAGCTGGAGTTTCTTCTATACCGACAATCGTTTTGACATCCATAGACTTTAAGTACATTTCATTGGATACTTAACCAAAAATATGGAAGACCATCCAGATGAAACTTACTGCTACACAAGTTAAAGCTGTCAGAACGCCTGAGAAAAACCCTCTTCCTCGAGGATTAATTCTTCCTGTGTTTGGAGCCGCAGAAATCTGGTCATTCCCATATTTTTGGAAGGTTGCTAAGCTGCGCACTACATCACTGTTTTGCTGAATATCTTCTTTTCTTTGTTCAATGGCATCAGAAAACAGCCTTTCAATAACATCCCTAATGGGAGAAACACTTGTCACTGACCAATATCATCACTGAGCCTTAGCACTCAGAAAAGGAATTTATTTTAAGATTTATATTTTCCAGCTTGTACCAAAGACTATCATCTCTGAAAGCAGGAAAACATTACTTATTAGCACTTGGTACAGTTAATCAACTACTTCAAAATAGTGTTTTAAATACAGAGGAAGTAAAAATCTCTCATTTAAAAACAAGTAAGTCCTTAATGCAAAATTAGAATTGTTTGCTATGAGCATGTCCTGATTATTCAAAAATGCTAAGCAAGAGACAACATAAAAGCATCAATCCTATATCCTACTTGTTAAAAATCTATTAGTGAAGGTCACTGTTTCCTTGCACCACAGGAACTGGATTGTAGGTAACTGCAGACAGCAGTTCGGTATTTCTTGCTTTCTTCTGCCATAAGGTCACATTTCTTCCTATAAAAGATTCCTATCATAGAAAGTCCCTTTGCTATCAAGGATAATTCTAACTTAATACAAACCCCCTAAAAAGTCAGAAGGGAAAAACCAAACAAGCAACCACCATCTCACTTCTGTGCTTTCCATTTTTTTCAGAAAAAAAGGAGGGGTAGCATGAAAGACTTCAGATAAAATAAAGACTTGAATAAAATACTAAAATACCTAAGCAGACAGTTAGTTTTGCTTGGTTTAGGAATCCAAACAAACAGCAGAAAAGTATATTAAAATCACCTCAGGAGAATGTTGACTCTGGGGAATCCTTCCCATTTTTCTCTGCATTCCGGACATTCGTTCTTCTTGGAGGACGCCCACCACAAGGCTAAGCAATGTCTACAGAAGCTGTGCCCACAGTTCAGGGTGGTGGGATTGACCAGAATGTCGTAGCAGCAGTGGCAAAGGAACTCACTCACTGATATCTGCCGGCCAACCTCAGGCTTAGCGCGCGCTGTAACTCCTGCCATGCTGGGTTCACTGCATAAGCTCTCATCTTCTTCCATCTTCTTTTATACCTTATGCAAGCTGGTCTTCAAACCGGCACAGCATTGCTTCTGTAAAGTAACAGGAGAGGCCTCGGTATGAAAAAAAAGTTACTACAGATGTTTAGGATTGCAGGAAGTGTATTTTTTCCATTGTAACACATTTTCTTGCTCTTGTAGTTTTAAAACTTGTTAACTTAAATTTTTCCTAAGGGAAACATCATTCCACTTTTTCAACAGTACATTCACCCCAAACCACGCTCAGAATGAGGCTCTGGGTGTAAAGCAGCGGGCTCAGCCTCTTTGCCTTTTCTTCTTTGGCGTTACGGAAACCAAAAACGCAGCGAAAGCGAAACCGAAGGCGCCGCCAGCTCTCCGATTCAGAGGCCCTTCTTCTTCTGACTACCCACAAGCAACATCAATAGAAAACACCAGAAGAGAACAAAAGACAAAAGCAAGGCCGACGTCCGCACACCGTACGGACGGCAGCGGCTCGCGGTGCGCTCAGGTACGGGACGGGGCGAGCGGAGCCGAACCCGCCCCGAGCAGCGCCCGCTCCTCGCTGCCAGCTCGGGAAACGCGCAGGTGAGAAAGGAGCGACTGCGGCCAAAAATACCGGCCTGTTCTCTTAGCGCTCTGGCTCTGCTCTGAGGCGATCGCATCACCGCGGTAAGGCAGGCGCCGACGCCGTTACGGAACGGCCGCGCCGCACGGGCCGCAGGACACCGCGCTTATCGCAAGGCCAGCGGGCACGAGAGCGGGCAGCCGGGCGGGGAAAGGGGAGAGAGAAGGGAGAAGAGCGGGAGGATAGAAGAGAGGAGAGGAGAGCCCCGAGGCGCAGTGCCGCCCGCCGGGCCGCTCCGCAGCGCAGCACGGACCGCCGGTCTTCCGAGAGCGGCCAGCGAACCATCGCTTACACGAGGAGAAACAAAGGCAACCTTTCCGCGCCCGAGACCGTTCTTCCGCCTTCCCGAGGACACAGGCGCTAACGCTCCCGCGGACGCGCGGCCCTCCCGCCCGGGCTGCTCCTCCCCGCTCCGCCGGGACGCGCCCCGCAGCCGGCCGCCTGAGCCGCAGCCCCGGGAGGAGCCCCGGCCCCGCACCGCTCCGCACTTACCGGCGCCTCTGGGGTTCGTCCCGCAGCGCGGGGCTCGGATCCGCGCTCGGCTTCCGACGGCCGCCCCGGCTGAGCTGGCGGCTGCCCTGCGCGCGCACGGCCGTCCCTTTTCGATCTTTAACCTTGTTTTTCAACGTTTTAAAAGCCACCTTCCTGGCGCTGCTCTGCATTCTGAGTTTTCCTGAACGCGCTCGCTTCCCTCCGAGAGCACCGAGCTGCGTTTCTGACCGTCCGCCCACCGTGCCCGAGTTACTGTCCGGCTGAGGGCTGGAGCCCTGATGGCAGAGCTTCGTCAGGCTTTTAGAGGCTGGCTTAACGGCAGCGGTACCCAGGATGCTGGCTCACACAGACTACTTCCACTACATTTGAGATAGCTCATATATACACACACACCCTCACGCATATTTATATCAGTGTCCATTCCCTCACTGTATTCCTTTTCGACTACTGTCCAAAGCGAAGATTGTTTGTTTTTTAAAGTGCTGACAAGGTGGATTTCTTACTGTGCAATATAACGTGACATTTTCTTAGAGGCTTGGTTCTTAGGGTGCAGTTCGCGTGGTGTGAGGACCAAAACCTGTCCCAGCCTCTGCCACATGCAAAGCACAAGGCTTTGTCCCAGCTAAGTTCCAGCCTTTATTTCATACAAAGATGGAGTGCCCAGCTCATACCTCACCTCACTCTATTTGCAGTCCTCATTAAGCATATGAAGTTAATGCCCACTGAGCAGACCCTTAAATCACCCTAGCATGAAAATATGCTCTTCTTCTAGACCAGAGTAAGTTCACCTACATCCGTCTTGGCACACACAAAGAATTGGACTAAGAATATTTAGCTCTTGCTCTAGAGCCTTGTTTTTGGCATATTGTTATTTTTTGTTTGCACTTAGCTTCACTTTGACGCTTGGTAAAGTAACAGAAAGTACACAGGTCTGATACAAGTGTGCTGCAGACTGATACAGAGGATGTGGAAACTCAGACTTTGGGTTTAGTTTACAAAATGTTCATAATACAAAAACAATGTAACTCTGTAATTAGTGATTTGACCTGCTCTCCCCCAAGGCTACTGAGTAATTTGGAAAGCAGCCAATCTTGTCTCATGTAAAAAAAATAGGACATTTAAAGATTTCAGATTACAAGCTAGGTATTTGTAAATGGAGTTGCTCCAGTGTGCATATACAAAAGAAATGGGTATTTAACTCACTAGGTAAATGTTACCTTCTGAATCAGAATTCTTAATAATTCTTAATTTATTTTTAATATCCAATAGCATTTCCTTTTTATTGCAATAAACTATAGGAAGACAGTTAAGAGGAGACTATTGCAGATGTGGATTATGGCCAATAATCAATAATTTTATTTTTCTCCAAACCAGATCCTCTCAGCAAACAAAACCAAGCACACACAGCTCGGCAGTGGCAGCCTGTGCACTGGGAGAAGTTGCTCTTAGCAAAGAATGGCTATTCTCCACATGGAGACAGCTCTGCCCTCACAGCACACAGACATGCTATCCTGCAGCCTTGGCTTCCTGCTGCTCTGTGCCTTTGGCCCAATTCTGCAGCTATCTCCTGGAAGCACCGCTTCTCCTCGGGCCAGGTACCACGAGCTCAGGCTCTTTTCTCACCTGACATGGTCTCTGCAGCCATCAACCTCTGGACACACATATGCTCACTGGTGCCCTGCTTCGGCTTCCAGAGCAGCAATGGATGGGAGCCAAGCACTGCCACGAGCAGATCACCCACACCTCAAAGCTTCAGTTTGCCCATTCACCACTGGTTAAGTACTGCTACTTCTAAAACTTTTGTTTCGACTCTTCAATGAGAGGCTGCAGTTTCAAGAACTTTCAAACAGTTCTTGAAAATTACGCGAACAAGGTTAGCATTTCACATTTCAGACAAGTTACTGCAAAACAGAAGAACTCTACTATTTCAACTAACCTCCTACTGAGCACCATGTAATCCCGCAGGCGATTCGCTGCAGACATGCGCAGCATGAACCGCCCGCAGCCAGAAGGCCAAACCTCACCCAGCTCCACCGCCCAGGCCCGCAGCTCCGGCTCCGTGCAGGCGCTCGCTGCATTTGCTCTCGTTCAGCCGGAACAGGACTTTCCCGGGCTGTGTGAGCCGTAACCCCGCCCGCCGTTCCGCAGCGCGTTTCAGCGAAAGCAGCTGAGGCGCCGTGCTTCGACCGGCCTTTCTGCCGCGGGATCCTCCGCGCTCGTCTCCCGGACAGCCGTTCCGTCCCGCAGCACGGCCACGGACGCCGGGCTGGGCTCTGAGGTTCATCTGAGCTTCATTCAGCGCCTTTCCATCGGCACGGGACGAGGAACGCTCGCTGTCTCGCGGTGCTCTCCCGCCGCGCTCCTCGCACCTCCTCAGCTGACGTCCGCCACTTCTTTCCCGGAGGCGCCTGCGCCGCCCTTCCCTTCACACCGACCGCTCCCCGGTACTCCGCGCGGCGCCCGGGCCGGGTCGTTCGAGGGCTGCCGACCTCTGCCGCCGATACGCAGCGGTTTCCAGCTCCTAACGGTCCGCCGCCGCGCGGCTGTCACCGCTCACACAGAAGCGGCTGGGCCGCGCTCTCCAGCCCGCGCTCTAGGAACGGCTCCGCCCGCGGCAAGATGGCAGGGCCTCACGTGGGCGCGCAGGAGAGGAGGGGCGGGGCGGGGCGGGGCCGGTTCCGGAAGCGCTCGGCGGCGGCGGTTGCGCGCCGGGCTCCGGGCGGGCTGGTGCGGGCGAGGGATGGAGGTGATCAGAAGCAGTGAGTGACCGGCTGCGGGCTCCGAGCCGTGCGCAGTGTTCCCCGGTGACCCCGCTCCCTCCCCCCGGGCTGCAGCAGGCTCTGGCCTTCGCCTCAGGGATGCCGGGCGGCCGCGCTGCTCCCGCACCCTGCGGGCCGGCCTGAGCGGCGGGCGGGAAGGAGGGCTGAGCGCGGGCTGAGCGCGGCGGGCGGCCCCGGCCGGTCGCCTCAGGTGTGCTTTTACCTCTTGCTGCAGATTTTAAGGATAACCTAAGCAAAGTGTATGAAGCTGTCGAAGAAGCGGACTTCCTGGCCATTGATGGGGAGTTCTCAGGTACGGCCGCGCGCTCTGTGAGCTGTGGGCCGTATCGTGTGGTAACGGAACGCGGCCGAGCGTTTGGCTTAGACAAGCGGCAGAGGCTGCTGGTGTGCCTTGTGTGCGGTGGTGGGGCTTTGGTCGAGGAAATGCATGTCTGTGTGCCGTGGAGTCGGAGAACGGTCTGTTGTGGTCGCGGTTCTTCTCCCGCCCGCGGTGATTTCTGGTGTCGCTTGGTTGGTTGATTCTCAGCTGCAGCTGTGCCTGTGTTGTGCACGCAGGAGGTTGGGAAACATAAGGGAGGTCCTGCCTGTGTTTGCACAGGGAGAGGCAGCCGAAAGAACTCTGACATTTCTGAGGCCTGGGGGTCTGTGCGTCAGAGAGCCTGCAGTAAATGTTCTGGCTCTGGGATGAAGTCAATTCAGCCAACCACAAAGCGAGTGTGAGCAGAGCTGTGTTTGTTAGATGTGCTGCTTCGGGGTGCATGGCTGCTAATTGGTGCTGCATCGGATGTTTAAGTCGTTCATCAAATCTCTATGCCCTACTCACGTTTTTCGTTTGACTTTGAACCACTGCTGTGTTGTAATGTCAGCACTGTGTTTGTGTCACACAGAATGAGAACCATGCTTTTAAAGCAAGGCTTTAGTGTTAGAACCGCACATTCTAGTTGGACATATTTTATGTTTGAGACTCATGCTTTTACACAATTGAAAGCTTCTCTCGACTGACGTCTTACTAGTTGTTGCATTTCTAGCTGTGGCTAATTTTCAAAAGCTTACCCTAAGCTCTGCTTTTTCAGGGATCAGCGATGGGCCTTCTGTTAGTGCATTAACCAATGGCTTTGACACACCAGAAGAACGGTATCAGAAACTTAAAAAGGTAAAGCGTTCACCATGACAGAAATGAAAGTGTTGCAAAAAGTTAGAACTCTAGTTCAGCAAAGAGGCAGTGCAGCACAGTATGATAACTGGAGGCCTGTAAAATTGAGTTACCTGTGTGAGCTGACAAAGAGTTGCTTGTTTTATTGTTTCTGCTAGCACAAGTATTGGGGAAAGACGTATAAAACCTGATGAAGTTGTGGGAAGAGCAAACCAAGGAGTGTGATTTTTCGTGTAAGTTGTAGTAGATCTGTTGAACTTGTTGTCAGAGAATGTTGAGGGTGTTAAAAATTTTTGGTTCAAACTGGGACTTGGTAAGAGAAAGTCAGTGACAGAGAAGCTACATCAGAACGAGGGTCCTTCCTGAACAGCCTCTCCTCCATCAGAATGTGAGATCAAAAATCAAAGTGCCAGCTGTCACCGTCACACACACACACAAAATACAAAAAACAGTCCAATGGCCATGGGAGACAACGTGTGTGAGGTTAAAGCTGTGATGATTTGGCTTGTCATGCTCCCATCCGCAGGGCTCAGAAAAGTGCTAGGCATGGCAGCAGTACTGTTTTCTGATGGCATCCATGGCGTTTAGGCTGTTTACTATTATTCTGTTAAGAGACATTCAAGGACTAAACACTGCTCACTGTTATTCTGCTAACAGGCAGTATTACAGTATGAGAGACATAGTGGTTGGTGTTCCTATTGTTCCTCTCCAGTAGAGGTGGAGAAACTGTGTTTTCCTTGTGTTTGAAAGAGCTGTTTAGCCCTCCAGATGAGCGAATCAGTGCAACTAGAAGGCTTCTTTATTTTCTTATCCACTTACAGCAGTGTTAAAAACCTTTCCAGTGTTAATTCAATGATTGTGAAACAGTCGAGGACACCATGATAAAGTGCCTAGCAGCTATGCTAGCTCTTGTATCGCTGTTAGCCATGTGAATTAGAAGACTATTTAGTGTCATTATATGTATTTGGAAGCTACATGTGTCCCTCACAAAGTGTTCCCACATTACATGGAATGTAAGTGAACACTGAGAAGAATTGCTAGCTGCTTTAGATGCAGTGTGTCCTCCTGGTGTGAGTAACAGCTGGGGAGATATGGGAGTTCCTTTAGTTCTTGTGTATTCAGGGAATGAAAATTATTACAGATTGTATTACAGATACAAAATATATACAGAGTGTATTACAGATGATTGTTGAACAAAAGTAAGATGATAAATGGGAATGAAGGGTAGATAAAAAGATCTAGTCCATTTACTAAAAATTACAGAATGTGTATTGATTGTGAAGATGCAGACTAGGTTAACTCTGAAATGAAGCTGTTTTTAAATGTATACCACTTTCGTTCTCATGCAAAGTTTTCCTTACCTTTTCAGCATTCCATGGATTTTTTGCTCTTTCAGTTTGGCCTTTGCACTTTTAAATATGACCACACAGAAGAGAAGTATGTAATTCTCTTATTCCTTGTGTTGTTCACTGAGGAATTTATGAAGTAATGTTGATAAACTGCATTGATGTGCAACTCATCTTTTTCACAGGTATATTATGAAGTCATTTAATTTCTATATTTTTCCAAAACCCTTTAACAGAAGTTCACCGGATGTCAAGTTTGTCTGTCAGGTTAGTAGAAAAATAGATTTGATTTTTTTTGCTTGGCTGAGCTATGCCTGCAGAAAATTCCTAAGCAGCGTTTTCAGGAAGATCAATACGACCATCGAGAGAGAAGTGGTTGGTGCCTTAACAGCTTAGAAAACAGATAAGCACAAGTTTCTGGGTTTGGTTTTGTTTTCTTAGATAAGAAGTAAAAAACGTTGGTTAAGAATAATCCCCAAAAGTGAGCTTCAAGACAATATTTGTGACTTAGTTTTAAAATCTTGGAGCTAATGTTTCAAATCTGGCAAGATCATTCTAATTTTTTCCTTGTCTGTCTGCTTGTTTCTGTGCTTTTCCCATTTGGTCCTCTATTCCCAACTGCTGTTTCAGTTTCACTGCTTCCCGGGCTATTGCCAGCATTTTTCTGCTCTCAGGTCTGTTCTCCTGTACCATGTTTTTCTCTTTCCCTTCCTCGCTCCATGTCACTTGTTCTTTCATCTTTATCAGTTCTTATTGCGTATGTGGAAAAAAGTCATAAATATAAGCAGAAATTTTGAGATTAGCACTTTGAGATTGATATTTGAGGAAAACCTAGAATACAATCTGCTTAAATGTTGCTTTTAACTGAATTGCTGATGCTTTCTACCCAACCTGATACAGCAGCAGAGATTTCTTTCCGTACATTTGTTTTTCCTTGTGATAAAGCAGTATATGTATTTAGTGAGGAAAATTGTAATAAAAGATAATACAAAGAAGTAGAGTCTCAGATTATTTTAATTCAAGGATATGAAGTTGTTTTCTAGTCAAATTTTTTGTTCAAGCAAAGCAAGCAAATGTCAAAACATAGTTAAAGAAAACCTCCCTGTTCCTTCAAGGAGCTGAGGACGATGTTCTCGTGCAGCCAGACTTGCTGCTTGTCCTGAATGTGCATTTTTGTTTTCTTCTTCCTGGGATTTGAGACTTACTCTCAGAAATTTAGTTATTTCTTTTGTTGTTGTTCTTATTTTAATTATACCTCTACCATGTTTTTCATCTAGCTGTGCTTTGCACTCAGGCAGATCAAGAAGCACTCGGGAATTAACCTGTCTCCTAGACTGGGATGTTTACTTTTACTTTTAAGCTCTAATAAATGAACATGAGTGCTCCTTAACCAACTGTTTGAACTGAAGCTGTGGATAACTATTCTAGGCTTAACTGCACTGAGCAGTGCTAAAGAAAGTTTTGGGCTGTCTGTGTTAAGACCATGTTGTGTAGTCTTATACAAGGCAGGAGAGAGCCTGACCCTCTGTGCTGCTAAGACTGCAGTATTCTCTTTGTTGGGCTTTACTGTCTTGATTCAGGAAACAAAGTCAATCAAAAGTTTCCACAGCAGTTCCAGGTGAAGCTAGCGTATTTTCACCGGCTTGTTATCGATGCACCAAATAGCTTCAGACTGAGCACGTGTCACATTAACTTGGAGAGACATTTAGGGCTAGGGATGCCTTGTGAAAATTGAAAGTAAGTGACAAAAGTGACATGGTTTAAAGTGGATCTGCGTTCTTTAGGCTCACAAACTTCCTTGCTTCTGGCTCTGAACTTACATAATTTCTGAAAAGCTTAAATTTTCAACAATAATTGGTCTTTGTGAGACACTGATGCTCTTGCCAATTGCAAACTTATATTCTTTTGTTGCAGAGTTCAAGCATAGATTTTTTAGCAAACCAAGGATTTGATTTTAATAAAGTTTTTCGCAATGGTGAGTTGTTTTTCTTTTTTCCCTGTTCGTTAAATTCATGACATCTTCATTTTCTGCAGAAAGAAGAAGGCAACTAAGATGTTATTCTCTTAACAATGGAATTCTCTAAGAGTAATTCTAAATTACTAAACTCTAAGGATAATTCTAAATTATTTGTATCTGATTCTAGAATTATGCTGATAATTACTCTTCAAAGGTCTGTTCTGTGGAATTAAAATTAATAGAATTCATGCTTAGATAAGTACTTGGTAGGTTTTTGTTTTTTTTTACCGATTAAACATGGATAAGGGTAACAAATTGCATGGCAGGATAATGGAACAGTTGTCAGGCCTTTTTAGAAACGTTTTAGCAAAGGTGTCTGTGCTTTGGAATTGATGCTGCTGCGGTCTGTTATCAAAGCAGCGCAGGTGTTGAGGAAGAGAAGTGCTCAGTATTCTGGTGATTGCCATCTGAATTTCTGCCAGTCTCAGGCTTGTGCTTTATGCAGATGAGGCATACAGCTCTTAAGAATCTAGTGGTACCAGCTCATCTGTTGTGTGGTAGAAGAATGCTTTTGTACCTGCAAATTAAGAATGAGCTCTAGAGCAGGAGATCTGAAAGGTCGGGATGTGTGTTCAGCCTCCAGAGGTGTATTGTGGGCAAACACTTGGTTAGTAACAAGTCTTTGCTAAATCATATGTCCCTAACGTACCTGTAATTATGATGAGTTTTTGAATGCCTTTTTCAGGAATTCCATATTTAAATCAGGAAGAGGAAAGACAGTTAAGAGAACAGTATGATGAAAAGCGTTCTCAGGCCAATGGTGCAGGATCTCTCTCCTATATTTCTCCTAATGCCACAAAGTGTCCTGTTGCAATTCCTGAAGATCAGAGAAAATTCATTGATAAAATAGTGTAAGTAAAAATTGTTTGGTAATAAACTAGAGTTCTATTATACAAATGGTAACATCACAATAAATCATATCTTATAAAAAAGAATTCCTCTCCTGCTATTTATGATGAAATATTCTGTGAAAGGAAGGAGAAGTTTGAAAAAATTCATTGTGAGGTTTTTGTTTGGTAAAAATCGCTTTAGTTGTCCATCAGCACAAGGAGGAATTAGATTTCTATGTTACTGCTGTCCTTAAATCTGGTAGAAATCTTTCCAAAGCAGAGCAGAATTACAGGAAGGAACAGTCCCCCAAGACTTTTATTCAGTCTTCATCTGGCTGGCGTTACTTAATGGTGTTAAGTAGAAAAAGAGACGTATCCCTCAGCTACTGGGATTGTTCAGTGCTTCTTTATTGCATCTTTCTCCAGATGTTTTTGAAACAAAAATGTGAACAATAGTGCCATGTTTGTATGTTGAAGACATTTTTATTAGTTCACTAGCTGTGTTGTTGTTTGTTTTTAAATAGTGTTTTCTTCATGGGAGAGCTATATGCATATTGGTAAAAACTGAAAGCTGTAGGACCAAATAATCTATTTAATCTCTTTCTTCCAGGGAACAAATAGAAGAATTTTTAAAGAATGAAGAAAATGAAAGTTTGGAACTGGAGCCATGTACAGGGTCAGTTTTCTGAAATTGTCTTCTGAAAATGATTTTTTTTTTTTACTCTATTGAATTAGGAGAGTGACAAGGAAGAAAGATATTTTGACTTGCAGTTCTTGCTTTACTTATTTGTCCTATCTCTGAATGTTGAGAAAGTGTAGTAATCTGTATGAGCGTCACGCTCTACTTTGAGCCATCACATCAGCATACGTATTTAAGTACTCGCGTTTAAGTATAGCCAAGATCTGTCTTATGCATATCGAAGCTTCTTGCATACGTAAGCCTACTTTTGCTGTTAACAAAGTGCATGATCTAAATTGTCAGTGTTTGTTGTTGACGCTGCGTGTTAAAATTGGCTTTAGTCAGTCTCCTTCCCAAGGTCTATTCAGCTTTGGAATCCAGATGTTTGGAGAGTATGGTTGTGATTTAAAAAAAAAAGCTATGCGAAGTTAGAAATCATTGTGAAGTGAGTGAAGTTGTGTTGCTGTGTTGATATTCAGTAATGGTGAGTGTGGAGTGTTTGCTAAGAAGAGGATTTGGGGATGGATGTACAAAATGTTGTAAATGCTTCCACAGCTTAGTAACTAGCCTATAGGTTTGGGTATCAGTAACTTTTGCCCTTAGCTTAAAAGTCTTTGTACAGATGAGAGAAGCAGCCTTTATTTGAGTATTACTGGTTCAGAATGCATAAGATAAGTGTTAATAACACAATTGTCTTTTGGTTTTAGGTTTCAGAGGAAATTAATTTACCAGACCTTGAGCTGGAAGTAAGTTACTGATAATGCTGCCTTTACTCTGTGATTTCAGTATTTCTGATTTAAAAACAAAATAAAATCTGGGTGAGAGCTAATGAGTGATTAATTCTTTTCAGTGATGATTTCTCTGATATTCTAAAGGTTGTGTGTTCTGTGGCTCTGCCAAAATATGGAAGTATTTTGGCAATTGAATGTGGTTGTGATGCAGTGATACAAGCAAGTAGCAGAGGTAGCAGAATTGGTATTAATATTTCCAAGGGTGGTTTATAAATACTAAAATGAATTACATGTTAAAAGCCTGCAGCCACCAAAGTTCTTGTGGCTTCAAGTAAGGAAGAACTTTCTTGCCAATGTTTTGTCTTTTGCTTTTCTTGAAAGTAACTTCTGGATTGTGATGAAGTGCCTTGGAAGTTTACTCAGTATTGCTTAACTAAGATGTTATGGGCTCTGCAACAGTAGGATGGGAAATTGCATAAGAAACTACCTTAATCTTAGTAACTGTTAAAATATTCTAGGTGCATAAGGAGGCCAATTTGACTGGCCAGTATTTTAACAGTTAACTTTTTATAGTTCTTTTGCATGTAAGACTAAGATTTATAGTAATAATGAAACATGAAGTTACGTAATTGCTACTGTGGATTCAATATGCTAAGTGCCAAATAAATAACTGCTGATACTTGCCTTTCATTTCTGTAGGTATCCAAAAGGTATCCACGTTGAAACTCTAGAGTCAGAGAAGGTAAGCAGGTGTGCTACTGCCTGGGAGCTTTGTCCCGTTGGAAGGAAATTGTACCAGGTCTCACCAACTGCCCTGATTTCTAGGTCTAACCTGAGCTTTCCTGTGCCAAATCTGGAACATTTAAACTGAAATTTGATTAACTAGTTTCTGATCTTTAAATCTGACTGACATTTGAATGATAAACATATACATGTGTGGCTTAATATTATTTAACAGTTAAAAATATAAGTGCCAAAGAACGCTTTAAAGTGTAGTGGATCTGACATTTAATGTTGATGAGAAGTAAGTCCATTGGTGAAAAGTAAATCTTGATCTTAGGAGTAATAAACAACAGTCATCATATAATGTATCCTCCCTTCTTAGCCCAGATCTCAACTCCAAAAAACATTTGAAATCCACAGGCTATGATGAAATACTGGTAACCCTTCTTAGAAGTAAGAAGTGTATTTAGTAAAAGATAGGTTTAGTGGATAGCTTTGTAAAGCTGACTTTTGTGTATGGGTGATAAAGTGGTGCTTAGAAGAGAAACAGTCATGTTGCGAAGTAACTGCTGCTAGGTATGACTTAATCTTCTTAACAATTCAATTTGCAAAAACTTGAATGGTCTTTGTGAACTTCTCGGGGTCATTCCTCAAACAATACTTCTTTTGACTTTAGAAGGAGAGATATATTGTTATCAGTAAGGTAGATGAAGAAGAACGAAAAAGAAGAGAACAGCAGAAACAAGCAAAGGAACAGGTAAATATTTGCAGTAAGTTCCATTTCTTTAGTTTGATTTTAAGAGGGTGGGGAAGAATCCATGCTTTCAATCAGCTGTGCAGAACTGCATGTGATAGGGCTTGGGAGTATTTCCTTCTTGCTTAGCTGTTGCTGTTGCTTGAAACTGATTCTCCAAATTCTACTCAATTAACTTTGGCTTTGCAATATAGGAAAAAATTTCAAAATACTCCACAAGATTCTAACATTGCTCCATCTTTAAACAATATTTAGCCAGTGTTCTGGAGCAGTGAATTCCTCCTTGTATGAATATGCTGTATCAGAGAAGCAAGCTCTAGTCAGAAGAAACATAGGTCAATTGACTTTAGTAGTACTGTAGAACTATAGTCCTTGCAAAAAGCCTTACAGAATTTCTCAAGCAAGTTTTCACATTATTTGGATTTACAATTTGAGTAGTACTCTGTTACAAAACTCGCTTGCTTTTAGTTGTCTGAGTTAATGTTCTGTACAATTAAAGTAATCTGATTCTTCTTGATTGAATGGTGCTGCACATGACTGCTGTAGTAACAACTTGACTGCAAAGTTATTTGTGGTATTCAGGCACTCAGCATTTATGGGACTTGATACTTGTGCTTACTGAGCATGAGGAAAGTTTCACGATGTACCAAGACTTGGACTGTGGGAGGTGTTGATCACGCTTTTCTTTTTAACTTGCTGTTATTTTGATTCACTTGTCTTTTTGCCTTTCCTTCTAATTATTTGTTATTTTCTGTTTATCTTATTATTATCTAATTATTATCTAATTATCTTGTTATCTTCTTCTTTTTGTCCCTTGGAGAGGGGAGTGAGCAAAAGGCAGTGCGAGTGTTTGGCTGCTGGCTGGGGTCAGCCCACAGTGGTAGCAACTTGTCCAGCATTACAGTGATCCAGAGATGTATTAAAACTAGAGTAATCTCAGTGGCATCTGGCTTTGGCCCTGTGTGTCCCCAAACTTCAGCATTTCTTTTGTGGTCTCTTATTGCTTATGTCTGAAGAATGGTATGAGCCAAACTGGGATTAAAATTTTCAATGTTCGCTGGGTTGTGGAAGTGGTGGAGTCTCCTTCTCTGGAGATGTTCAAGACCTGCCTGGACGCCTACTTGTGAGACCTGGTGTAGGGAGCTGCTTTGGCAGGGGGTTGGACTCGATCGTCTCTGGAGGCCTTTCCAACCCCTACGATTCTGTGATTCTGTTTGCAGGTACCATTTTGATGATTGTTGTATTTGTATTTCACTAATGCCAGAATCTTTGCTTACAGGAAGAACTGAATGATGCAGTAGGATTTTCCAGAGTTGTTCATGCCATTGCAAATTCTGTGAGTTGAGATTATTTTTAATGTACTTTTAGCTGTAAGAAAAATAAATAGTTCCAACAAAGGTTCTTTTCTTACCTTTTTTGCAAGAGAAGATTAAATACACATTGAAGTTGCTTCCCTTTTTAGTGTTTTCTTTTTTCTAGTTGATGTTGTCATTGTTTTCAATGGTAAGCTAAAGTCATGGACCTACTTATCTGTAAGAGTCAACAGTAGAAGTAGAAGTAGAAAATGCTTACAGCTTTAACAGGATTCTCTTTAGAAACTGAGCTCTGAGCTTTTTTTTTCCTCCTCTGTTCCAAAGAGATTGTTTAACTTTCTTGCAGCCAAAGTCTTAATCACAAAAGGTCACCTGGGTCTCTTCTTTCTACATAGTTAAAGCAGGCTATAGTTTGAGCCCTTCAGCCTGTTTATTTTCATGTAGTTGAGGCAGTGTGCAGTTTAAAAAAGAAATGTGTATGCATATTTTTTTCTCTACCAAGTTAAGATGTGGGGTAGTGGATAAGGTTGTCATGTCAAATGAAGCAAAGCTAACATTTCAGAAATTTCTTGCACTTTTTTGAGAAGAAACTTCCTTGTACAGCATCTGGCACAAAAGGTTCCCTGCTTGAGAAGCCATGTCACACCCATAACTATTGTATATTAATTACAGCCATAGGGAGTATTTTGTCATTTGTTGTAAAAGCTGTAAATCAAAAGGTAAGCAACTGACAGGTTACTTTAATCTTGGGTAGTTTACATTTGGATACCAAGTTGTGAGAAGCTCCAGTAATATTATCTTCTGATCATGTCAAGATGTTGCTGAAGGCTGTGTTAAGTTGTTGAGAACAGAAAAATGAGAGGAGGGACTGCCCTGAAAGAATGGAAGGGTCTGTGGGCAGGTAGAGAGCAGCAAGTAGGCAGGTTGGGCTTGTGCTTGTTCTTGGCTGCTCTCTGCTGACATCTGGGACTGTGCTTTTCACATGCTGTCATTGATTTATCTGTGCCTGGAAGCGTGACTAACTTCTAACATACTTTTCACAGGGCAAACTTGTTATTGGGCACAACATGCTGCTAGATGTTATGCATACTATACATCAGTTCTATTGTCCTCTACCTGATGTAAGTAATCTTCTCAGTGTGCAGATGAGATTAAAGTCATATATTAAGGCATTTATGTCATCAACTCCAACCTTTTTTTTGAGTGAAAGCATATGATGGTTTTACTAAGAACTGTAGAGAAGTATTTTAAAATAAACACTTGTGGCTTCTTGGCTGCCGCTTTATCTTCTTAAATCCTCATATAGAAAGCTTAGTTGAATTCTTCTCCTACACTTTCAAAAATTGAAATTGAATGTTGGAATTGAACGGTGCTTTCTGGTCGTATCTGACTCCTTCAGGATCTGCTTCAATAACGGCAGACAAATTTATGTATTTGTTAAGAGACTGGCTTGGAACAGTTGGTTGCTGTGATGATATATAATGCTTTTTCCCCTCTACTTACAAAATTGTTAAATGTCTTTTCATATAATAAAGTAAAATTAATAGAATGATAAGAAATTTGATAGCAGAAATTTATGATGAAGCTCATTATGTTAAAAAGGTGCAATGTCTGAGTAATTGGAGAGAACATGCTTTCATGAGCACCACGGGGCAAGTCTAACAATTAAGATAGACTGAGTAATGTACTGGCACTAAAAACAGTGTGTGAGAAAGCCAAAGCTCCCTTCGAAGGGATGGGCTGCATGGTGGTTATGTCACTTGCAGTCCTCAAGGGCTGGTGGATGTTATGGGAAAGACTTGAGTGGCAGATGAGAGAAAGCATCTGTGACCTGTCTGGACTGTGTTGGAACACAAACAGTGTTGGAACACAAGCAGTTATGAGTTGTGCTTGCACTGAAACTTGGATTATATAAACCGTTAGGAAGTCACCTTTCCATCTCCTCCTGTGGGGATATTCCAGAGCCATCTGGGCGCTGAGCTGTGCCACCTATTGCAGGGCCTGCTTTAGCAGGGGGTTGCACTCAATGATCTCTTCAGGTCCTTCCAACCCTTCTGATTCTGTGATCCTGTAATTTTAGAAGCTGGCTGGATAATTGTTACAATGGTACCCTACCATTCTGAGACTGACAATTAACTTATTTGGCTTTTCTTTTCTGGTTTAATATTAATTTAGGACCTAAGTGAATTCAAGGAAGTAACGTCATGTGTGTTTCCCCGGTAAGATTTTAATTCAAACTTGCAACTTCTTTAGTGCTGTTTTTATCAAACTGATGCTATTTTTGTAGTGCTGTGACAAGAAGTAAAATTGTGAGCAAGTTAGATAAATAGTTTTAAAAATATTATGTGACATGTCTTGTTCACAAGAGCTGTGCTATTCTTCTTGACAAAAAATGATACTTTTGCCCTCTGCTTTTTGTCACAATTATTGGTGTTTTGACAAAACATCAAATGAGTCTGCACTGCATTTGGAACAAGATCTGTTTGCTACTGACAATGTCTTTTGCTACTGTTTAGTCAGTGGACAAAACCAATGCATTTTGACTGCTCTGAGATCTGAGAATAATGCTTCAGTAGGGTGAGACTGCTGCTTCCCAGCTAATTCACCCAAGCATTTCTAAGGGTTTGGTGAAATGGACGTTCTTCTGTTCTAACTCACTTAACTCTTACTTTGTTTCTAGGCTATTGGATACAAAACTGATGGCAAGTACGCAGCCTTTTAAGGTAAATTGATGTAGTGTTTTAGAGTGGTTTGAAGTTACAAGAGTGTATCAAAACATTTTTTTTAGGTAAATGTCTAACAACATGTTCTATCATGATCTTTTTTCTTTAAAAAAAAAAAAAGATTTTTCTTGTCCCCTTAACTTCGGTAGTTGCCCTTAATATGTTCAACCTTTTTGACTGGTATTTCAGATATTTTCCCTTGCTCAGCGTGCTGCCTTTCCCGCATCCCATATGTGGAAACAGATTCAAATAGAATATAATTTTGGCATAATACATCTTCAAGAACTCTGGAGAGTATTGATAAATTCTTGTGACTCTTAGGTGCTGTGTTGTGGGCAAGGCAAGTTAGCTTTTTAAAACTTGTGTGGATGGACTTCTGTGATGTAATGGTTTTGGAATAAGGTCCTGTGCAAGCCCTTGCAGGACACAAAGTGGCAGCAGTAAGGATTCATTTTACTCTGTTTGATTTCGGTTTCCGGAGGAAATGTGTGTGACCGTGGCACTTAACACTGACCTTTCTTGCAGGACATCATTAGTAATACATCCCTTGCAGAACTGGAAAAGCGCTTGAAAGAGGTTCCGTTCAGCCCTCCTAAAGTTGGTAAGGATGTATCAAAATAGTGGACTTTTTTTAATTCTTGGCCTGAGATGTAGATTTCCATACTAATATTTAGTATTTTGCTGAAAGGAGCTTTAAAATCAGGCAATATTAGACAGTGCAGCTGTATTTAGTTGGTAGGAATCCTTGCACTTTATTTCAGATAAGAGAAGAATGGAGGTGTTTCAGTGAACAGCAGTTTTGTCATTTTCTAATGATGGCATTTGTTCTTTAGCTTGATTTTTGGAGAGTAATTTGAAACTGTTTAAAACTCTCTTATCTGCTTATAATTGTCTGTCAGATCAAAGCCAGTATACTGTGAGGGGCACTTGAGCAAACAGAACTAAGAAATTCTGCAAGTAGTGATTAGTTATACATGTTGTACAAATTAGTTGAGTTCCTCTGGAGCTTTCTTTGCTTTGAGGTGAAAGAAAGAATATTTAATAGAAGGGTAAGCTTGTCTCAAGATTGGGCGGGTGGCTCAGAAGGTAAGACTATGATAGAAGGGAAGTGTATCTATTTAAGAGTAACTTAAGCACTGAGTGACTGCTCTTTTAGCTGCAAGGCAGTCAGAAGAAAGAGTGGTGTATGGGGAAATCCTGTTGTTTTTGCATTAATATTTTGTCAGAGCTGAGTAGGTATGTGAAAGACGAGATGAATAGTTTCCTAATAGGGTTGGGTTTCTATCCCAGGAACCTGTTCTTTAAAAGATGTACGTGGTTAAAAACTTCTGAAAATTGTAAAAGCTTACTAGAAATGATACTCTGTGACAAAATAAGTGTGTGTGTGTGTGTCAACATACAGGTAACTGGAGTGATGTATGCTGACAAACTATGTTTTCTCTTTAGAAAGTGCAGAAGGATTTCCAAGTTATGACACAGCTTCTGAACAACTTCATGAGGCGGGATACGATGCTTACATTACTGGACTGTGCTTCATCTCCATGGCTAACTTTTTAGGTATCTATGTAGTCTTTTTCAGAACTTAGTGCTATCTGTAGCTTCTTATTATGTACTGAATTTCTGCTTTCTTTGTTAGGTTCGTTTCTTAGTCCTCCAAAAAATCATGTGTCTGCTAGATCAAAACTCATCGAACCTTTTTTTAACAAGTAAGTAATGCCAAACTTCAAAGAATGTGAACCCAAACCCTTCTGAAACCTTGAAATGTAACACTAGCCTCGGAATCAATGGCTAACAGCATTTTTCTTAGCACTTCAATTTGTGCTAGACTTTCTTCTTCATACTAATAATGCAATGAAGCCAAAATTTGTACAGTGAATACCTTTTATTTGGAAGACAATGATTTACTTTCTGCTAGCCTGTAAAGGGACACTTAGGAGAGTTAAACGTAGACTGTTAAACCATCAAAACCTGGACTTGTCGAATGGCTTTGTCAATGTCAGTGTTGGGAACATGGCTGTAATTTTATCATTATTTGTAGGGCGAGATTTGGGAGTAGCACAGCTGAAGAAAAACCGGTCGGGCGTTCTTTGTGGTGTGGTACACTAAGATTGCTGATAAAATTGAAATTGAGCATGCTTAAATAATGTGGAAAAATTAAAATCTAAATAACAAAAAGCTGTTGTATTAACTTGTTGGGTAATGGATCGTTTTAAGGAATAAGAGCCACATATGATTAGTAGGCTGTATGGGATGAAGATATGATTGGTATTTTTCTGTTTTACTTCAGGCTATTTCTTATGAGAGTAATGGACATACCATATCTGAATTTGCAAGGACCAGACTGTAAGTAGCTTTACTTATTGTGTTCTTACTACCATTCTGACAAATTTCTTGGAGGAGGAGGTGTAAAGATTAGTTACCATACATTTACACGCAGGACTCTGGCTGTGTTTGGGTTATTAGCCGTTTATCAAAGGATAAAAACTTCACCCTTTTATTTGAAATTATATAGGGGATTGACTAGGACAGGTTAGACTCTTTAAACTGAATGTAAGAGGGTTGAAGATAGTAGCTTATATTTGTGTGTGAAGTCTAAGCATGGTGACCTGTTAGAGGTGGTGTCCTAACTCACATGCCTTCCTCTCCCCCCACTTGGCAGTAAGTACAGGATGCAAAGTACTGAATAGCAAATGGTCCCAAAAGTCTCCTGGCTTGCTTTCTTCACAGTTGCCATGTAGTAGCATGTTTTCCTTAACTTCAGCCAAAATATCAGATTTTTTTTTTTTTTGCCACATTAGGAAGTGATTTGAGAAATTGAAAAACATTATCTGAAATATTACTTAAACGTTTAAAGTTTTTCCAGGTTACAGACAGGGGGCTATAATAACTTCCTAATATAAGAGCATGTTTTACTGATACAGCCTTATTCTTCTGGAATGTTATATCATGAAGGAGAAAGCTTTGGATGAGTGTTACCACTGGTGCCTCTACTTAAGAAAGCATAAAGTCCTGCAAGTCAGCCTAGTTTTTGACCTAGGTGAGGGTTTAACTTTGTAGTGTCTTATATATCTTGGAGGTACAAGGATGTCTTCACAGAGAAACAATGCTCATCTGGAAGAGCCACTGAAGACATTTTCCACACGGGTGTTAGAAACCTCAGACCGAAAGATGACCCTTTTGTTATGTGCTAGTTCAATGGTAACAATGTAGTTCTAGAAAGATGGAGAGGTAAATATATACTGTAGTGGCATGCATGTAATTTTCAAATGCAGGAGGTGATCAGATCACTGAGCAGTGGCTCTGCAGATGTAGTGGAATGGTTATTTGATTATATTTCCCCAGTTTGATACTGAGTGGAAGGGTAGCAGAGGCAATACTCTGGATCATTGAGAGAAGGCCAAAGCTACTAAACTGTGAAGATGCTGCTTCTGCTTGCTGGCCAAATTACAGGATCATTTGGATGCTTTGCCAAGAAGAGTTGCCAAAAAAGACTCTGAAAATCTCTCTTTTATTTGCAAGTGCCCTCTGCAGAGCAGACTGATGCAGGCATTTCAGCAGAATCTGAACCAAGGATACCTTCTAAGCTTCAAAAAAATGTACACATAGTGTGGCTCTTTGAGTAGAAATAGAAGTTCATAAAGCAGCCAGAGATTCAAACACTGCTGTTGGCTGACAGCGTTGTTTGGACATTTTTTTTTGCTTGCAGGTGGCCTTTATGCAAAGAAGTAAAATCATGCAAAGCATGCAAAGAATAAAGCTGCACTATGGAGGAAGTTATGCTTAGAGTCTGTGCTTTAAAAAAAAAAAGTGCAGCTAACTAGCTGACTGCCCAGTGTTGCAGTGTTTGTCACCTTGTTTATCCTGCTCAGTTGTAGCTGGTTTGAGCCATTTTTCTAGAAATGATGGGCTTTGGTTGCACAAACAGTCTGATTATGTGAAAGTGACTTTCGTGGTCTTCAGCGTTGATTTCTTTTGTGCAGATGATCCTCACTGGGTGAGGTCAAGATATCCAGATATCTTTCAGTGTATATAAAACATCTTTGGTGCCTTTTTTTTGTATGTTGGCCTTTGTATGTATTTTTTTCTGGTGATGACTTTATTAATAGGAAGTCTGTCAGTGTGTGTTCTGTCTTGTTCCTGGAATGAAAACTGCTTTGAACATTGTTTCAGGGCTAAGGTTTTTTTTACTGACAGAAAAATTGTATCATTGAATTATTGCTAAGAACATACTAAAACCGGAGCCAGAGCATGAAGAGCCTGCTGCTTTTTTGCTTTATTTTTCTATACTTAGCCCCAAACAGATTGATTTTGTGGGCAGTTCCTGCTGCATGTAATGCTGCTTCAGTTTCTTATACAAAATCATACTAGATCATCTGTATATCTACTTCATGCGTAAGTGTGGATAAGTTTTCCCTGATGCCTGGTGTTGTTCCATAGGTCTTGGCCTGTTCTCTTTATAATAATAAAAAGTAAAAGCTATATGACCATGTAAGGTAACTTTTTCTTTTTTAAGGTTGTGCTAAAGATACCAGTGGTAACTTTTATTCTAATAAATAACTTCTTATTTTGCAGTGCAGCCAAAACGAGATCATGTTCTTCACGTCACTTTTCCCAAAGAGTGGAAGACTAGTGACCTTTACCAGCTTTTTAGTGCCTTTGGTGAGTAATATAATCTAGTCTTCCTTATGTCTTTTTTTGTTTTTTAATTTTTTCCTCTGAGAATGGAAAATACGTCTGGTTTTCTTTGTTATTTTTGACCTATGAATTTGGGCTTAGTATGGGTAAATCATACATAAATCATAATCAGTGATTTTTGAAAGATACCTTTAGGAATTTCTTTGTAGTGATGTGTCTAAAATGTCTGCCTCGCTGAACTGCTCTTTAGAAATCTTTGTTACCTGGTACTTGTTAAATATTGTGGAACTGTCATCTTTATATTCATATCCTCTCCTGGTAAAGAATTGAGACTGAAGGTGACCAAAGGGAAAGGCTCTTGGTATGACAGGCAGATCAAGCCCTCAGGAGTGAAGTCAGTGACTTAAGTCATAGTTTGTAGTGTGGCAGAGGGATTCAGGGCAAACCTGAATCTTCCCTTGATTGAAGGAGTTACAGTGTGAACCCTAAGGATGTCTAATCACCAGTAACAGGGTGAAAGTCCCTCAGTATACTCAATATTGTCACTTCAGTGCTTGCTCTGATTCTCTATAGTAATAACTGTTGTCATATAACTATAATAGTATTTCAGTAATAATATCTGTCTCTTCACCTAGAATGTGACTCAGTAGCCTGTTCAGGATCTCTGTTCCTTTTGACTTGATCTGCATTGCAGTGTGATGCTACTATAAAGCAGGATAGAACTTTATATTCAAATTTGATAAGTCTAGAATGTAAGTTGCTGAGATTTTTCTTCAGTTAGACTCACAGGGGTAAGAACCCCATGTAAGAGCAGCTTGGGTATTGTTTCTGCAGGCTTTTAAACACTCAGCCATATAACTTCACACGTTTGAACAACTCCTTATCAGCGTTGGTGTGAAACAGAAGCAGGGATCACTACCACCAGAGGTCATGCTTACACATCTGAAGTACTATTCAATTTGGAATTGGAATTTATCTGTTTTTTTACAGATTCTAGAGCTGTGTGCTTTCAGATTTAAATTTACAAACTGGTGGTATTTTGGATAATGCTTAATCCATGTCAGAACAGGCTGCAGAGGATGCCTTCCAGAATTATAGGATCCCACGCTTTTTCAGCTGTAGCAGGATTGAGCGAAAGGCAATGTGAGATGCAGTGATTTGCCAAAAGCCCCAAAAATGTGGCAGCAACAGATGTGAATTGTTTCCATTTATAATGCTAATTGAATTAAAGTGTTTTTAAAGTAAACTTTCACCTGGATTCTAAATAAATTGTCAAGCTAAATAATAACGTTGATCTGTCCTTAGAGAAAAATCATTTTGACTTGGTTTTAGCCTAGTACTTGAATTAGAGTTGTAATCTCCTGTGAAGTTTCTAATGAAAGCAGTGAGACAGCCGAAGGGACTGCGATGTCAAACTTGCAGCTGAAGTTTGCATGCAGACCGAGTGGAAACCTGTTGTTGCAAGATGTTTTTACAGTCTCGTGAGTGAATGTAATTTCACTGAGCAAATGCTCGCAGTACTGTGCACTCTAAAAACATTTGTTTCTTTAAACACTGATGTGAAGGTATTCAAAATAGTATCTGTTGCAGTTCATTGCTTTTGTGCATATCTTTCACAGCCACTTAAATTAATGGGTTTTAATTAAAACATGTACTACCACAGTATTGTAAAAACCTGCTACGTGAATTTTTTCCAAATGAGTGGAGTCAAACCTCTGCATCCTGGTTTGTGAGAACACGAGAGACTTCTCTGAGAGGGAAGTGAACAGTGGTGTATTCATGGAACCTTGCTGATCTGGAGATGCATAAATGACTTTAAAAGAAATAAAAGTAATTGATCCTTCATGTGCTTAAACCTTGTTCTGCTAGTCCGAGCTACTACATACGTAGCTTTAAGTGACTTTTAAATCCAACTTTGAGACTCAATTGCAGGTTCCACACACTGACATTTGTTCCTGGCTCCCTCTGCTGAAAAATCCTCGCTTAACTTTTTTTTTCTTGTTTTTTTAAAGAGAAGTGGAGCTTAAAAAATGACCCTGTCACATGTGAACAATCCAGTTTAAGGAAAAACTTCTTGCTAAATATTCTTCTGTAGCTTAGGTTCACATAGGCATCACAGCTTCATGTGCTGCACCTTTTCAAATTGTAATTATTTTATTCTGATCCTGTATTTCTGTGTACATTTCTGGTCTTTCCTCCCCCTTTTCACGGCAATGTTTCCTTCAGCAGTTTTTGCTTTCTTTGCACTCTCTTCCTGCCAGAAAGGTGGAAGCTCTGTTAACCCTTTTCAATTATTCACCAGGAAAATGTTGTTTGCATTCAATATATGCTTCGACTCTTATTCACAGAAAAGATTCAGCTATTTCTTTTGTCTGATGTTGGTGTATAGAAACTTTGCAATCTTAAGGTGATGTCACTGTGATCATTTTTCTTTGTTGTAATACAGTAGAATGTACTTACAATCTCTTTTTCTTTGGCTAAATGAAGGTAGCAAGTGATTAGGAAATGTAAGAAACAGAGCCAAAGTAAAACAGTTTTCCTGCCTTTTAGCAACCTACAACTTCAGGGACTCATGAATTAGAGGTCACATGTACATCTTTCAGTTTAAGTGCCTTTCGTGGGTCAGGTAAAAGTCACATGAAATTGAAGTGCATTTTAAGTCAGTTTGCATCATTTTTTAAAATCCTGTAAAGTCTGAAGGTTAAATGGTGATATGACTGTAGATGTAATGTCATATCCTGGTCTGCCTGAAAAAGGTCACACCAGTTTTCAGTGTCTGACATGTGTGGACAGTCCTCTTCTAAGGACTGGAGATGTAAAAGGATTTCAGACTGCAGAGTAAGTCCTTGTGTCTGAGGTGGGAATCTTTGCCTACATGTTTTTTCCTTTGTAAGCAGTTTTTGTGCCTGTGTTACATTTTAAGCTATTCCCATAGAAAATGGAATGTATGTTTGATGAATGGAGGAACTCGATTCCAGTCACTTCCATTTTGACAACTTCCAAATGAGGTGCACAGTTTTTGTGTATTTGACCTCCTCTTATTTCTGAAAATGAGGTTTTCATTGTGTGTCCAGGAAATAGTATGAAAGTGTGACACAAACCAGATTTGGAGGACTTAGTGTTGCAATACTTAGAGTTCTCTGCTTGTGTGAGCCACAACACTACCAGAATTTTTTTTATCTTGTAGCTGTTTTGGAAAAGGAGCAGTGCGTGGTAATTTGGGCCAATCCTTTCTTTGTCTTCAAAAAATGCTGCAGTTCTGAAGAATGGACTGGTTTTGAAACCCCAAGAGATGATCTTTATTTTGGTACAAAATTGAAATTACATACCAAAATTACTTTGATTTTTGTTGTGAAAATATATAGGGTGCATGGAGTGAGGGCTGAAAAGCTGCTGATTATAACTTGTTAAAAGATTGGAAGGAGAAAAAAATACAAAAAGGCAGAAGAATCCTGTAGGAGTCTGAAAGGCATTAGTCAAATCTTATAGTTTTTTTTCCTCCTTACTCAAGTGAGTCTGAGGGTATACAGGATGAGCATGCAGTGGTCACTCTTTCTGAAGTGGTTCTGGGCTCAGGTATACGTGGTGATGCAATATTCACCTTTACTGTGGAGTCTTGTTGCCAAAAAAATAAAATAAAATAAAAATAATAAAAAATTCTCAGCTGAAGTTACACTTAATTGAGCATCTTCTTATCTGTCATCTGGCACAGCAGATGAAATGTGTGACTGAGCCTAAGATAAAAACAATCGTTTCTTTTGCCTTTTCTAGGTAACATTCAGGTTTCATGGATTGATGATACGTCAGCGTTTGTATCGTTGAGCCAGCCAGACCAAGTACAAATAGGTAAGTGTTTCTGAAATTACTTCAGAATTAAGATGAGACTTCAACTGCTTTAAAATTCTCTAAGCCAGCAGCATCTGCAGTTCTAGTGACAAAACCACTGTGTTGCACAGAGAAGTGAGCAATGGCTCTGAATTTATTGGAAGTAAACCTTCCAGTTATGCAGAAAAGCAGTTTTTGCTTTTGAGATTTTCTTCATTCATTGTTGCTGGGTCCACCAGACCCCAGTAGTTTCCGTGGTCAAGGAACTACCTACCCATAACTTATAGCTTGAGAACACTGACCTGAAACAGCCTCTTATACATGATTATTCTGGTATTGTCATCCCTTTTTATTCAATGCTCACATGAAAGCATCCAGCGGAGAGCCATGAAGGTGATGAAGGGCCTGGAGCATCTCTCCTGTGAGGAAAGGCTGAGAAACACGGGTCTGTTCAGCCTGGGGAAAAGAAGACTGAGAGGGGATCTGGCCAATGTTTATCAATCTCTGAAGGGAGGTGGGAGGCAAATGGATGAGGCCAGGCTCTTCTCGGTGCGCAGCAACGGGACGAGGAGCCATGGCCTAAAATTTGGACACAGGAGGTTCTGTCCTGACATGCAGAACTTCCTTGTGGGGAGGGTGACGGAGCGCTGGCACAGGCTGCCCAGGGAGGTGGGGCAGTCTCCTCCTGTGGGGATATTCCAGAGCCATCTGGGCGCTGAGCTGTGCCACCTATTGCAGGGCCTGCTTTAGCAGGGGGTTGCACTCAGTGATCTCTGCAGGTCCTTCCAACCCCTCTGATTCTGTGATTCTTTTCCTGCTCTAACGGTGAGCTCTCACTGCTTTCCTGTCTGATTCTGTGTCCAGAAAAAAGTTGCTGCAGGCTCAGTGGGGTTAACCAGCTCAGCAACTGCTCAGAAATCATCAGAAGCACCATAAAGGAGGGCGTGAGAGCATGTGACTTGCTAAGGAGTGAGGAATGGGATTCTCCCATTTGGTAACAAGCTGTTAGATGAAATCTAATGGCAGTGCTTTCTGTTTCTTTCCAAGAAGTCTCTCATACCTGAGCAGTCTGTTCTCAATGTCTGCTGGTACTCAAAGACCTTTTACCTCTTTTACTAGAAATGAAGTGTTCTGTGCGTTTTACTCTTTTTGTATGTTAACAAATTTGAGCACACTAGTTCTACCAGCCGTTCTGTGCTCATCAGCGCTGGGAGTGAGGTGTGGTGAACTTTGTACAGCTGGGCAATCTTGTCTGTAACAAGAAGCGGAATTGCTGGTTGATACATTCCAGTCTTGGTCTCAAAGCAGAGCTGGTGGCATAATTCACAGCACAGCTGTTTCACAGCTTTCAGCATTAGTGATGCAGATTTAGGAGGACAGATTTGCTGTCAGTTATCTGCAACAATATTCTCATCACCGCCTTTTCATTTGTTTAGGATTATTTGAAATATGTCATAGATTTTGTTTTAGTTACTGAGGAATTTAAACAGGGTGCAAAGGTTAAATAGTTTGAATTCTTTCAGTATTTAAACTGCAACTTAAGAAAGTTAAAATCCTTTATAACAATCTGCTTACAAGATTGTGGTGTGGACAGTCTCAGTGGACTATACCATCATTTCTGTGGTCTTTGTTGAGGGATTTTTTTTTTCTCCTGGTAACTGGAATGCTGAATTACTTAGCCAGCACGTGCAGCAGGGCAGATGAGGTGATGATGCTGGCTTGATGCTTTGCTGGCCTGCACGTTTGCATGGAGATGCTTGAATCCAACTATCCTGCATTAAAATGGCATTTCACCTCAATTTTCTACTTATAAAGAAAGTTATGATGTAAGCTTAGTGCAAGATCCACCCAGTGGTACCTGCAGGAATGTGAGACAAGTTCAGGGTGGTTTTTATTCTGAATTAAAAAAAAAATAAATTGTTACAATGCAGCAAAGAAAGGAACATAGAAGGTGTTTTTTGCAAGTGTATCTGACTTGTAAAGGGGCTGTGTTACATGTAAATAAGTGCATTTGAGTAAAACTTCCTTAAAATATTAGAGTAGTACTATGGGGCTTCAGGCTTCTGTCAGCACTTTCAAGAATAATGCTAGCTACTGTGAAACTAAGAGTCTCACCTTTATGCTGTTCTTAGTTGTGCTGAATGGCAATAAAACAGCATGAGGCTATCAGAAAAAGGGAAGAAAAGGAAAAAGGTGCATCAGTCTTTCGTAGATGGGTTACCTGAGGCGGGGAAATAGACCTTCACTGTCCGTGAGTGCTTCTGTGTTGGTGGCTTGTGGAATTAGGTACTGAGTTAAATAACAAAATGTTTCTATTTTGTATTGGAAAAATGGTGTCTGACGCAATGATTTGTCCTTGCATGTTTTGTACTTGAGTCTTAAAATTTCTCTAACAAAATATTGACACTTGGTATGTTTTAATGCAATAGCTTCCAGCCTGTTTAAAGTCTGGGCAGCTGAGGAGGAGCGATCCATACACGGAAGTCTGATGGATTCCCTTGGGAGGAAACATCAGGCAGGTTGTTGAAGAGTCAGAAACTTCTTGAAGCGCATGTACTGAGTGCTCCAAGTTAGTTGTATTGAGGCTTCTTTCCTTATCACTGAATAAAAGACTGAGTAAATCATTTTGATGATCTCTGGGAGTGAATGGGCTTTATATTTCTGGAATTGTGTCGACTGAGTAAATTCTTAACTTCTTCAAGGCATTTGAATGTTTCTAGGTGATTCTGGGATCCGAAGTTGCACTGCATTATAAGTTTTTGAACAAATAGGCTCTTCTATGTGCTGAAGTGTTTTCTATCAGTTATTTTAAAATAAATAATAGTCTCCTGACCTCAGAGCAAACCCAGACTCTCCTTTCGTGATGCCTCAGTGCAGGATTATCCTGGAGGATCTTCCTTGAGACCTCAGTACCTTGCTCTAGCTAACTCTTGACTGTTTTATTTTTCATAACAGTTTGCAGTGGGGTTTTTTCCTCTTTGGGCTTCCTTGAGGACAAGGATCTTAGGAGCGCGCTAATGAAGTGTCACTTTATTGGGGAAGGTGGTGCAAGGCTGCAGTACTTACCTTGGCATGGGCAGAAGGATTTGCAGCAGCACAGCTGCGATGGAAAATAGAAAGCAGGCAATCTGTGCCTGAATTAGTCATTATTTTCTACTTCCTTCAGCCACAATTGGAATATATTTACTTGACATGATGAGAAGTAGGCTTATGTGCGATAATTCTGCTGAAAGTGAATAAAAGTATTTCAGGATAAAGTTTTATTTTAATGCAAGCGTTAGCAAGTGGTTTGCTAAATAATCCAGCTCAACAAAGTATCCATCTTGCTAGTGTGTGTTGCTATCAAGTGTAGAGAGCTTTTTTTGTAAATAGAGTTGAGAAAATGTCTGTCTACCAAGACTTTTCGGCTGCAACCCATGCAGTGAAATGCAGCCATGTGGTGTTGCTTACCAACATTACCAACAGGCTTCTCAAAGGAAAATTTATCTTCACTTTACGATTTAAAAATAAGTAAATAAAAATTCTGTTCCCTTTAGTTTGATATATTTTGTTAGAATTCACAAGACATTCAAGCAGTGCTTTTCTTCAGTTGGCACTGGAGAGTTAAGGTAGTTCTATTTGGTTTGGTAGCATTGACAGAGCATCAGAGAAAATGTTTTTAAAACTTACAGAGACCATGCAGGATGTAACTGTCTGTGTTGTTCCTTAGAATTGCCCACGTTTCATTTCAGTTGTGCTTTGCATGGAGAGATATTTTTAGCATATACCTTTTTATGTGCTCAATTGAGCATACAATGCTGGTCACAGTATGGTTTAGCTCTTTAGAACCACTCATATGTATATACGTACATATAAAGTGAATATGTTTGTGGAATGCAATATGCTGCTAAAAATAAATGGTCTTGTTTCAAGAAAGAACAGTTGTCTGACCAAAAATATTTATTCTCATACAGGTTTTAAAAAATGACCTTTGAGATGCTCAATAAGGATTATCTTTTTCTTAAATGTAAGCAGGGTTTGTTAGGAAATTAAATGGAAGAGCCGTAACTCTGGCTCCTAGTGTATAGCAAAACAAATAATGTGAAATTGTTATTGTGTTTTAACAAATTGCTGTTTATCAGATGATCCATGGTAACTACGTGCTTGATTTTAGCAAGTAAAAACATGCTTGAGTTTAACTAAACAAATGTTACCCTTAGGAATGTTGGCTGGTATGCAGTAACTCCAGTGAGCATTAGTAATTCATTCACGATGCCTGCACCCTCACTTCATGGGCAGTACATATTCTCAGTATATATATATATATATATATTCTTATGAAGAGATCCTCTGACTTCACAGTCCAGACAAATGTAAGGGGTGTGAAAGGAGGTATGTTTAATGTGCCTTTAAGTAGTGCAACAGTCTCATCAGGCCGTGAGTCACAGTTGCAGATACCTATTCTTGGGAGTAGATACACAAGATATTGATGCCAAGTTTTACGTAAGTTTGAAAGACTTTGCAGCAGCAGCACCTACGTGCTGTGACTTGTACTATAGGTAACTGCTTTCATAGTAGCATAGTCAATATGCAGAGTGGAGACCTACTCTGAAAGAGGAAAAAAGCCAACCTGCGTTTCTGAGCGGTGATGTGGGAGCATGCTGCCTCTTGTGTGTGCATTGCAGGTAGTGCAGAATACCCTGCCTTTGAGATGACAGCACTTCATAAAGAACGAGAAGGTGATACACACATCTGAAATTTCTACAGAGTGGTTGGAAGTACACAACTAAAATAAAGATTTCATCTCCACTTCACTATTACAGTATTTTAAAATGCTCTGTCTGCATACATGAAAAGGAATGTGGGGTTTTTTTTTTTTATATTTAAATGGGTTTGCTGATTTATGACGGTTTATTTCAGTGACTTAAGCTAAAAACAGTAGAAGACACCAGTTGACAGCCAGTTTAATTTGCTGATTCATCTGTTCCAGCAATGGCTTTATGCCAGAGCTTGGCTTACAGATGAAAAGCAGCTCTGCAAAGATGCTGGGACTCAAAGGAACACTGGTGAATTGTTGCTGAGTGAAGGCAGTGACAGTTTTTTCTTTCTAGGTGATTCTAATTCTTCTACCTCCAACTGGCAGCACTTTTTCAGTTAAGTGGAGATGGAACATTAGAAAGATAGGAGGCAGCAGCTGGATTCTAATTAGCTGCTTCCACCAGTATCTTGGGCAACCAAAAATGCAGCTCAAATAAGCTTATGTTTCACAGCAATCAAACAGAGTTTTGGCAGAGCCTTTGCAAATGTCGTCTTTTCCTGGCAGACATGCAAAATAAACCTGCTGGGTTAAGTAATGAGACTAAAAGGGAAAAAATCCAGGAAATCTCTTCTTGCCAACAAGCAATCTGGAAGAGGACTATGACTGAAGAACTGATGATTTCTAATTTAAAAGAATTAACCCTTCTTGTGTGAAGTCTCACTCAGAAGTATTTTGAGTATGTAATTCAACCATGCAGTGTGGATTTAGGAGAGTACAGCTATTTGTTTTGCCACTACCAGTGGAACTAGATAGAAGACATTTGTATGAATGGAACAAATAGTTTGCTGCCTTCTACTCTTAAAACTAAGCTATCTCAGAAGGCGTGTTGTTGTGTGTTTGGTTTATAATATCTCTTGCCTTTCCCATAGCTGTAAACACCAGCAGATATGCTGAAAGTTACAGGATCCAGACATACGCAGAATATGTTGAAAAAAAACATGAAGAAAAGCGAGCAAAAAGAAAATGTACGGAAGATAGTTGGAAGGAGATGGAGAGAAAACGGTTGAAAACTCAAGGTGCACCTTACGTTTCCCAGAGTCGATACTACTGTGTTAACAGGTGAGACTTTCTGCAGTGCACTCATTGTTTTTGTTATATTTTCACCAAAGGCATTGCACTTTTCAGATAGTTCGTATCTGGCGTTTTTCTCTGTATGTATGTTTTATTAATTTGCATATAAATCATTAGTGGTACAGCACCTGTCACAAGATGATGGATAAAGGAATAGAGGGGATTTGGTGATGAGGCAAACTTGAAATATTGTGATACTGGGAGCAGGCCAGCTCGCAGCTCTGAGCTCGATGGAGCAGCAGTGTTTCTTAAAATCAAAATAAAAAAGTTACCTGTTTCATTTTTTTCACATCTCTACATGGCTGCTGGCATTTGGGAGCTTTGAAAGCTCTCTTCTTATGCTACTGTAAAGATGATTTTCAGTTTTTTTGGATGGTTTTCCATGGTGATATTGCCACAGTGAAGGGTATAAGTTACCATCTTAGGCAGTCCTGATGGAGTCATCCTTGTGTTTCAGGAACAGGAAGGTAAATGAAGATAGCCAGTCTTAGTTTTATTTCTAGTGGAGCAAGTCTCTCTCCTTACTGAATGCTGTTATGTGTATTTTGGGCATCTCGCAGCTTTTAGACAGACAGTGAGTGTTGGTGGCTTATGGTTTGAACCATAGATAATTCTGTCTTTTAACAAATACTTTGGAAGGCAGTAAGACTGCAAGACAGGTTTGTTTTTGTCTTTCAAGTTAGTAGGGGATGATGACAAATGTGTAACGTGGAAAGCTGTTGAATAAATTTCAGTGAATTGTTTCCTTAATTTTCTTTTAGCTCAGTGAGTTGTCTGCCTGAACACTTCATGTCCTTGAAAATTTTGAAGCTGTTTTTCTTGTATTGAAAGATTCCCCAAGAAGCACCCTTGCTATGTTATTTTTGGATGATCAACATTTTGATAACCCTGGAAAGCAGTCTTCAATTTGTTTGTAGACTGAACTTCTTTTGTGATTGATGTTCTACAAATTTTAGTTCTCACTAATCCAGAAATAAAGTGACTTGATTCTCTTCCAAATTCCCTTCCATGCAGATCTTTTGGCATGTTTTTTCTTAGTTTTGTCTCCTTTTTCACTCGATAGATGGTGTTCTCTTGACAACTTGTCTCTTGCAAATACTTCCTCTTTCCAGTGTGATCTGGCAGTTGTACCAGCTTAGGTATAACATGTAACTTCAAACCTTGTGGTCTTTCAGTTCACTCAAGGTAATTGTAGATGCATTTTTCTTTCCAGAGATACATAAACACAAATATTTTAAAGATACATGTAAACATATTTATACAGTGTTATAAATGATTATATGTGTGTATATGTGCATATTTTTCCAGATTAATCTGAACCATATATAGTGTAGTGCTCGTTCCTATGATGAAGCTAGCAGCTGATCTCTTATAATAGCTTCGTGTTACTGCACCCTTTATTTATTTATTACTTAATAAGCTTACTGCATCAGCTTCTGCCAGCGAAGGGAGCACAGCTGCAGAATGGCTGTTCTCCATGGTGGCCACATTCATTCAGGAGTGAAGTTGTTGGTTGTTTCTTACAAGAAAAGCCTCTGCCTTACATTGGCAAACTTAGAAGAACAGTATTGAAGGTTCATTAATTCTTCCTTAACTCCAGATTTCCCTTTACCATCTTCTTCCCGTGGCATTCATCCTAGCTGGTGTTTGGATAGGTCAGCAGAAAGGAGAGGTTGGGGAGGGAGGGCTGCTGGACTCTGCCTGTGCTGAAGACATGCACACCCACACCTGCTATCTTCAGTGACCAACAGGAAAACTGCATTGTGCTAACTAAGCAGATTTGCCAACTGGTGATATGTGATAGGCTTTCCTTACTTTTTTTCCCTAAACTCGGCTAGTAATTTTACTTTAAAACTAAGAATAAAACTTTATTTTGCTGCCCAAAAATGGTTTGGACTCTGCTCAAATATCTTTTTTTTTTCTTTTGTAATCATATTGTTGCTGTTAAATGTGTGTTCTGAAGGCTGGTCTAAGACTGTCTCTAGATGCTTTAGGTATCCAGAAAGATGAGGATTCTGAATTGGAAAATTACTGATAGCTTGTAGTTTGTTTTTTTCCACTTTGTTCAGTTGTTTCTCAGCAGAGTAAGGAAATTGAGACAGACGGGTGGACGTGCTCCAAAATAGCTGGTAAAATTAGAAAACTGAACTTTGCTCTGACTAGTGCTCTGACTCGTATACACAGCCATACTCATTTGCTACTATTGCTAAGTGAATAAATAACATTGCTGTACTTCTCGAACCTTATTTTAGGTCGAAGAAGAATAGGACACACGGGGAAAAAAAAACATCAACCAAATCCACAATCTGTAGTCATGTAGATTCCATGCAATGAATGAGTAAATGTAGAAAAAATCCTAATAATTTAGGAGAAAGCAGGAAGTCAACAGTACTTGATTGCCTATATTTGGATCCTCGTGCTGTCTGTTTTCTGGTCTGCTTTCTTTTTTTTTAGTTTTGTTTTCTGTTTTTGTCTGCAGGAAAAATGTGAAGCCTGAAATTAGTTTTTGTTTTGAACTTATTCCTTACAGTAAGTTTCTTTCTAAGAGCCCTTAGAGTATCTCTAAGTCCTGGAATTGTAATTTATGGGTCATGATTTTTCTTCCCTATGTATTTTTCAGAATACCTTTCCCAAAGGTAGAGTTCTTAAACTTTTCAATTTTTTTTTAATATAATAGCAAGTAGGTTGCTCCAGAAGTAATGCCTCCTTTTATGTCCATGGAAGCGACAGCAGACACAAAGCTCACACTCTTGCTATTTGATAGAGAAAATGCTCACCTGATTTTTTCAATGTTCTGTGCCCCCCCCCCAGAAAATCTGCACCAGTTGAGGTGACTGCTGTCACTGTCACCACAGCTGAAATGCAGCACCCCTTCTTACTGCACTGACACCACTGTTCAGTCTCCATAAGTGTTCACAAGCACTGATAAGTGTCACTGGGGGCCCTTTTTTCCACATGGAGGAATTCAGCTCCACCCTTCGCTCCCCCCACGCTTCCATGTCAGGCGCCATTCTGTCCCAGTGCCCCTCTGCTGCCATCTGTCACACAGCAACAACCTGTCATGGAATGTTGGTGGGCAGGTTCAGCCTCTGCTGCCATCCCACCAACAGCTGCCTCTGACATCAGGGCTGACATCACAAGATAGGAGGCATTACTTTTGGAGCAAGCCCTTGTAATTTTTAATTTTCTGAATTAAAAACTTTGTTTTCACGAGGGCTCTTTGCTCCTGTCCCACCCCCTTCCCTTTCCAAACAGCATTTTGGCTTTCGTCATTCTGCTGATGGTAGCTGTGTTGTGGTGACTTGTGTTGAAGAAGGCCTTCTGTGTGTGAATGTTTGGAGGAAGAGCCAGGTATTCATCAGAGGAAATGGTGTTTGTGTTCCTAACGTGGAAGTAAGAGCATGAAGCATAATCATGTTTCATGGTTTTTAACTGCTTTTGGACATCTCAGAAAGAGTCTGTTCTAAAACGTTCAGATGAAAAAGGGCCTTCACTTCAAAGGCAAAACTGTATAGCTAGATCTTACTTCCCTTACCTGAACCTTATTGATACCCTGTGCTTCTTTGTATTAGTGACTAAAAGAAAAAAAATACAAAGTTTTTTTTAAAACTGTGTTTAAAAGATTTTGTTTAAAAGTTTTGTTCTGTAACTTAGAAATAAAAGAATTGAATATTGAATGAAAGAATAGTCATCTTGTTTCATTATTCATAATTGCATTCTAGTTGAATGAAAATCTCTGTAGCATAACTTCAGTGTTTCCTGAATGAATCAGAGCTCTAAGTGCGTGTTCATGATGTTTTCTCTGTAGTAGAAATACTGTAAAACTGCGTGTAGTTTTGACAGAGGAGATGAACTTAGCATGTGGAAGCCTTCAATATGAAGATGAGCAGCTTTAATTACACTTGAGCTAAGTGATTTCAGCAGAATAGCAGCTAAGCCTGGGACACCTACATGACAAACAATAAAAACCTTCATTTGCACAACATCCTAGATGACTGTTATGGACTCTTACAGCTGAGTCACATCTTCAAGATAATGTAATGTTATGGCTCAGCACTTTATACAGTTTGTATTACTACTTTCTTAAGCATTTAATAGATACATAGTAACTAGTACCCATCTAGTAGTTATTCTTAACTTGTTGATAACAGTATTTTCTCCACATTTCAGTTTTACAGGTACCAGTGTAGCGGGAAAGAGAAGTATGAGTCCTATTCAGGAAGAAACTGGTTCTGACAATTTGGAAGAGGAAGGGGTTCCAGAAGATGAGACCAACTGCTATGCAGAGTCACCTCCAGATGTTCCAAAAAAGGTTCAAAAAGCCAAAAGGTTCAAAAAAATCAAGAGAGAACAAGTTTCGGCAGGTAAAAGCAATGTTCTTGATCATAATTTTCTGTTCTGTTTGAAACTGCCCTAGGCCTGAACAGAACTGAAGTTTGTTGTTGAGGGTTTTTTGTTTGTTTTTTGCTTGTTTGTTTTTTATGTCTCAATTTTTCTGGACTTTAAGCACTGTCACAACTTATTTTGTTGTATGTTATTTAAACTGAAAAAAAATTGCATCAAACTAAATGAAGCAGGATGTATTTGATTTCTTATTGGCTTACTTTCTTCTATATAGTAAAATATTTTTAGCTATTTTAAACTTCTTTTTTCTTCAATGAGACTTTTTAGGTTATGCAGGAACTTCAAATACCATAAACAAAAGTAAAAGAATTCTGGAAGCAGGATTCTATAGTGGATCTCCTCGTTAGTCCAGCAAGCCATCAGCAGTTGTAAGACTCCCCTCATGTTGACCTTTTCACTTAAGCTTGATTAGAAGGAGTCTCAGAATGAATGAATGCATGCAGCTTGGTCTGCAAGATGTGTATCATTAAACAAACTCTACTGTATGCAAAGGAGTCCAATTTTAATAAATCTTCCCACTGCCCTGAAGGCTAATATATGTGTGCTTGTAATTAACACTTCTAAATGTTAACACAGACTATCTTGATGACATTGCACTTGCATCCCTTATTCACTGTTATTTGGGAGATAGTTCTGTAAGTTCAGGAACCAGTGCTATTTTTCAATCTGGTCTGAATGTTATCTATCATTAAGACTAAGCCAAAACTTTCACAGTCAGCTTGCCTGCCCCACACCACCCCTCCTGCACACAGCTTGGTACAATGCTGATATCCTTCCTTCTCTGGAACATCTGATAAAGTACTGGCTGAGACAATTCCGTAGAGGAGTGAGCTGCCAGATTGGTGCCCATCCACTGGGATCTTAATCTTAGGCAGGCCTTTCAGATTTTGTAGTACTTGGCTTCTATGAGTCACATAGCTGTGCTTTTATTTCCTGAGGAAAAGTGAATGTGCTTAATCTCCCTTCCTAGCATTTTGGATGAGTAGCTCACAGTCGTCTGTAACGATTCTTGCAGTCCACCACATGCTTAGAGTAAGCCCATGTTTATTTGAAGATTTACTGGTCCATGAGCAGATCATTCACATTTCATGGACTGCTAGCTGTTGCAGCTTGTAGAAACTCGTTTTCAGGAGGGTGCGATTTTGAAAAGCAGAAGAAACAGTAGGCAGTTGACCTGTAGAACTGTCAAAATGTGCAGTCTTTATTCTCTCTGAGGTATTTTATGGATCTTCTCTTTTTTCTTCTTTTTTTTTTAAGAACTCAATATGCAGTGCTTGAAAATCAACAGTGTTTCTAATATAAATTATAGATCTTTTCCTATCTTCTAAAAACTGTTAGGATGTATAAATTAGAATATGCAGTGTTCTGTTCCATATTTAACATTGTCTGTCTTGCTTTTATTTGGAAGACTTTTCACATGGGGCTGATTTAAGCATTTCTTTCTGCTGACTTCAACAGCAACATGTTTTTCTTGCCAGAATACTTGGAATTGTGTGTTTGGCTGAATACAGACAGGTGACAGGTGATCATGTTTCACCTGATATTTTCACTGTTTTGTGAGTTATTGCAGCCTGTAGAACAGAAGAAAGGATGGGGGATGTCTTTTAAACAGCTTGTTGGGTTCTCTCTGTGAATACTGTAAATAATGTATCTGGAGGAGAAAAATAGGATTTTGTATGCTTTGAAAGAACCAAAATAGTCTTGACTTCTTTCCTTTCAGTATTTGTATACTGAAGTCATTAATATAGAGCTTTCTGATTCTGTCTTTTTAGGAAGCCTCACAAGTAATTCCACTGAAATTTTTGAAGTCCCTGAAACATGGTAGGAAATAACTGCCTTAACAAGTGGAATTGTTTGAAAGCAGTTGTGAGAATGCACCTCCTGGAAGCCATAATTTATTTAACTGAAGTGGTGTTAACAAATCAGTATGTGTCCTGAAAACCAGTTTAATTATTTTAAACTGTTTACTGAACAATCACTGTCAATTTTACTTCTGTGTATATTGACTAGTATATGATCTTGTTGTTGATCAAGTGAAATCCTTGCTGTTGTTAATTATGTTAGATTTAAGAAGCAAGACTAGATGTATTTCAGTCATCCACTTTGGCATGTTGGCTATGAAATGTACAAAAAGACCTGGCAGTCTATGATTTTGTGCTAGACTGTTTCCTGTGCTTGAGGGAAGTTACCACAAATCTCCTAATCTTTAGATATTTTTTCAGGCAACATCAGAGTGCTGTCAGAACTCTTGATACAGGTAGAGCTGCAGTTTCACATATTGCTTTTTACCTGTTACTATCCGGAAATCATTTTTTAGTTTTCCATTCTTTACTTCATTCCCAGTGCAGCCAGCTTCATCTGAATACCAGCTTTACAGATACCCTGTCTTTTCCAAAAATATAATTTATGTGCTCCTTAAATATGAATTTCATGGTGGGAGGTAGTTTTTTTCTTTGTTTTCACATCTGCTGCTGTTTTCACCCCTAAGTCCCTATCTATTTCTTCCCTGCTTCTTCCCCATCTTGTGGGGTTTTTGTTAAAAATGTTTTTTGGTACCTGTGACAAACCTGCTAACTGTACCAGCCCTCTGTTTGTTTAAAAAAGATCTGCATTGGTAGATTTCAGAAAATGTTTGATATTTAACATTTTTGTATCATGGAAATAAAAACAAAAGATGTATTTCCATAAAATGAAAATTAAAGAAATTTTCTTAGGAAGTGGTTTGCTTTTATGTACTGGCTCCTGAAATATATTTTTTGTGCTCTTATTTTGCTCTTCCTAACACTATTTTTTAAAATTATTTTTAAGTCTTCATACAGTTTTCAGTCTGTATCAGGTCTGTGGACTGACTACTTTCAAGATATTTGTGAAATGTAATGAGGAAAAGCCAAGTCTGTTGAAAAAGGTTTGCTATGCATTTCCCTTGGAAAAAAGAATGAGGGTTCTGCAAATCAGCAAGTTGAAAACCGTTTCAATGGAAAAGTGGAATATTAAGAAAGTTGCATCAGATTGTACTTACATCACAGTGTGAACCATTGTCATTTTAACAGTGCAGCAACCTGCTTGAAGGTATGCCGAAATGTGTGGCTTTTTAAGTGATTGCAAGAACTATCTTGAATCTTAGATTTGTTTTGCAAAAGGGAAAAGGATTTAAATCCCTCAAATGTGAAATGTCTAATTTCTAATCTTGGAGTACTGCTGGAATTAGTGCACCTAAGGGTTGTTGTTATTGTTGGTTTGTTTAGTAGCAGCCATAGCATCATATTATTGCACTGAAACGTGGGACAGAAGACAGTGTTATTAGAGATGCTACGGGAAATTATCAACACAACTCTTCTGATCCAGAGTGTATGGAGCAGCATGGGAACTTGTCTTCATTTCATTACAATATAGAGGCTTAAATCCTTTCCAGATCATTATTTTTGTATGAAGAGTAGGGTGGGTGTATATTTCTCTAAGTTACTCTATCCACTATTTCCAGTCTTCTTCCCGCTCTGAATTTTGGAGAGCAGGATGTTGTTTATCTCCAGCTATACTTAGTACCTCTTAGGAAAATAACGCTGTTCTGTTTTCTAGTCATTGCGTAGCCTTTGATTTTACCAGATAATACCTACTTACACTAATAAAATGAGATGGGGTTGGGACTGTGATATCAGTAGCACTAATTTTGGGTGGAGAGTTGTCAGGGGTAGATGCTGTTGTAAAGAGGAAACGACCTTTTGTGCACCTCACTATGAATGAAAGCACTAATTCTAGCAGAGAAGGAATGTGGCTTCCTAAATGTGATGCACATTTGTTTCCTGATGCAAGTTTAAAATACGTGCCTGCAGTTTGCACCTTTTTTTCCCAGAACACAAAGCTGTCATCACCCGGGGCGTCTGTGTGGAGCTGCTGGGGCAGCAGTGAGGTGTGGACAGGCTGTTTTGGCCTCGTAAACTCAGGCATATCTACCATGCTTGGATAGAATTACTTAGGTTTTTTTTTTTCCCTCTTCATTCCTTTTTGTCCTCAGGGGAAGTGGGGAGTAAACCCCATGGATGTCCTTTAATTTTGATGCTCTTCCTTTGTTTTCTGTTTGAGGAAGCAGCAGTGGCTTTACCTGGTTCTGTGTGCTGCACAATTGCCCTAACCGGGGCCAGAACAACTTCCGGCAGGAGGAGACCTGCACAGCGCTTGGCGCTGGGGGCCTCAGGGCACCCGGCCTCCATCTTCCCTCAGGGTGGGGGCGCCCTCAGCCCCGCCGGTGGGCGGTGGGCGCAGGAGCAGCGCTGCGTGCAGCCAGGGACGAGGTGAGTGCCCAGCAGCCTTAACGGCTTGTTTTTCTGCTCTTCAGTGGCGTAAAATAGCCGTTGTTACCTTGCTGATGGTCGTGCTGAAGTGAAAGGCTTTTCCTTCAGCAGACGGCAGGCGCTGCAGCAGAGCCGTGGTGCTCTGTGCTTGCGCTGAGGCGAGGACTGGCGGCTCCTCACTGCAGGCGGTGGGGATGGGCGCAGTGAGAGTGGCAGCGTGTGGCTCTCGGGTGTTACCCGCAGCTGGCGTTGGTGGAAGCAGAAATTCAACTGGGAAAACGAGGAAATTCTGTGATTAAAAGAGGAGAACTTGGGAGTATAGACCTGAGTGAGAGAAGTAAGGAAAACCTCTCCATGGGGGAATAAAGCAGGAGGGCTGGAATGTGTTTATTTGAATGAAGTTTAAACTTGTGGTCAGACTTAGAGCTACTCGCATTTTCAATGAGAATTAATCTTTTCACTGTAGCCTGTGACAAAGAGCAATATTTTCCTCCCAAGCAGTCCCACTAGGTTTACAGGTTGTGTGTTTCTTTGAGACAGCTGTAATTTTCTATACATGCATGTTGTGCTTGCTTTTTCCATTGAAATAATTGCTCAGTGTTACCGGATTTTGAACAGAGAGGCATCATTTCAATGCCTGAATGTCTCATTCCGGACAGTTTTCTGTGGGCCTGGTTGTATTGCAAGGCCTGTTCTAAAAACATCCACAAAACTGTTCTGTCTATCTCTAAATGTATTTGATGACTGCTTTTGAGTGGATGTCCAATAGTGGCAGGAGGAATAAGGCCAAAGCGAGGCGTGTTGGTGCTGTTGGAAAGCAAACAGTCCGTGATGGTTTTGGTCTGACGGGGGAAGTGGCAGAAACCTGTGGGCAGAGCCAGCAGGAGGCTGAGCTTCATCTGGTGCTTGAAGCAAGATAAGTGCTACCAGAGTGACTTCACACTCAGAAAACTGTGTTTTTTTAAAAATGCTAAACTAAATTTGCCTTTTAGATATTTAGACTTGTGTATGACATAACAGCTTTCCAGTTTTGTCTATGGAGACACAAATTGCATTAAAACTTCACATTGTCTACTCTAGGAAAAACAGAAAGGTGAAAAAATTTATGTGGTGATGTGTAAATACAGAAAAGCTAATGAGCTTTTGCATTAGCTTTTGCATTTTTTCCATTGCTGCTCTTGCTCTGTATGCCGTGAACTAATGGATATAAGCACTTACCCCATTGTTTAGAAGAACGTTACTGACTTCTATCCACACTTGAAATAAAAAACCATTAGACACAGTTTTCAAACGTTGCAATGCAAGGTGGCCAACTGATATGGTGCTGCCACATTCCAGTCTTTTCTTCTATGGAAAATGAATCGGCATGAATGATCCTAAGAGGAAATCCAAACTATGCCACTGATCCCTCTGGGTGAGTGGATCCATCTTAACGTGCTCTGACTGGCTGTTAGATAACTGAAATTAATACTGGAAACTGGAATGGAAGAAATGGCTAATATAAATAAGTGAAAGCACCCATAATCATAGATACGCAGTATCTGCTTAACAATAAAAACAAAGCAGACACTTAAGAACCCTTATAAAATTCCAGGGATCCAAACTAAAGAATACACAGCTCACATAGCTGAGGTTGAAGATACAGAGTTCTTTACTTATATTTCATTTGAAGAAAGTAATAGCATAGTGTTTAAATAATACCATACCATGTTCAAAAACAAGGTTTCCAAACTCCTCCCTCCTCCCTCCCCATTTCCTGTAGTTCGAGCCCTGTTTAAATCACTGTAAATCTGCTTGGCACTTACTGTGCTCAGCCGTGCCAGCTCATGCACTGCTCTAGATCCAGCTCGCTCTCCGTGCCAGCTGCCTCGCACCTTCCATGCTCTGAAAGAGTTGTTTTGAAGCACGGAGTTGAGGGAGCTACAAATGTGTGCCTGGGAGGTCAGGCGGCTGCACACTTCCCTTGTACGTTACAGATTCCTTAGCTTGGAAGTTAAAAAGCTGCTAGAAATCATTTGTCTGAAACTACAGTAATTCCGCATAGATTGATTTGTCTGTATTCCTCTCTGCGATGAGGTGCGTGGTATGGTACTTAGTGGGAATCTGCAAGCATTTTGAGCTGTGTTCTTTTTGCATACGTGTATCCCGTATCTCATAGCAAATGTTAATAATGACTTTTTCTTCTCATGTAGTTCATCTGTATGTCCACAGGTTACGATTATATTCTCACATGTAATAGCATGCAGTAGCGTTTGAGGGATTCCCTACGTACCTTCACATTGTTTTTAGTTCTTCCAACACAATCTCATCCTCACAGGTCAGAAGTCGTCTTTGGCTACTGGAAGGATGTGCGTGAGCTTTGGATGGGACACGTTAATACAAGTGGTGTCTTCTGAATATTGTCACAGTTCAGAGTGCATATGAGGATCTGAATGATGGGATTGGCAGAGATCTCGTGGCCAAGCATGTTTGATTATTTATTGATTTTTCTCCCAGTGGTGATGGAATGTTGTGAGGTTTTCTATTTATGAAAAATCAGTCCAATCTCAGAGAAGGATTTTTTTCCCTGGGGTACTTACACTTAATTACGTTGGATTTAAAAACTCCTTTCATTTTTATATTGCTGTAACAAAGCTCATGTAAGAGCTCATCAAACTAATATTTTCTTTAGTTTAGACTGAATTTTTATCAAAGTCAGAGAGTCCAAACATGCTTTCTTCCTGACAGATCAAATTCTTCTGACTTTCACTTATTATTTATACAACCTTCCAGGGTATATCTCAGAACATTGATTTATGAAGGTTTGGTCATTGCATAGAATGAAGCTCAGCCACCCAAACCCACGTGGGTTTTTAGCGTTTGTGTTTTTAGTGAGCGTGAATTTAATACTTAGCTGCAGATTCCAGTGAACCTGGAGAGATTTATGGCGTTACGGGGGAAGCCCCACAGCCCTTGATGCAGCGTGTTGCTCCAGTAATTTTTCTGGCACTTCCATTTATGTTGGGTTTTTTTTTTTTCAGCTTTTCATAAAATCGTATCACAGAGAGCTTCACATTCTCCTGACAGATAAAAACAAGAATTTCAAGACTTTCCTCTATCTGTGGGGTGGACCGGTGGTAGTCCTTAACCTGACTGATGCTGTAGACAATTTGTACTGCTGCAAAGTTAGAAGAGAATAGTGCTCTCGACTTGTATGTTTCATTAGTGCAATATGAATGTATTATTTTGCTCTGTTTTTCTTCCCTATAAGCCACCTCAAAGGAGCAGGCAATGAACTGCTAAAAGGGAGGATGAATGATACATTGTAAGGAAAGAGGCTGTGTGCCAAATTCCACACATGTACCCTGCCAGCATTTATTCACAATGTTGGCAAAATGGAAAACACTTCTGAGCTGCTCTGTTATTTATAAGGCAGATAACTCTTTTCTTTTTCCTGGTAGGAGACAGCATTAGATAATCTGACTCCTGTCACTGTCAGGTTAGCCATGGATCTCAATTGTGACCTTGTGCAACTCACTTTAACCTGTCTGTCTGCAGCTTCTCCATCTGTAATGAGGAAGTAATAGTTATGTATCTCAGATTATTACTCTGACACTAAGGCTTTATTACATTAAAAAAAGTGCCATTATTTACGTGAATCTAATTTAGCCCCATCAACAAAGTGCTCTTTCACTCGAGTTGACAATTTTCAAACAAAATTGCTGTACTTAATTTTTCCGGACTGATGGACACATGAACTCATCAGCTAAAACTCATACAGCTAAAAAATTCTCAGGCATCAAATGATTGACCAGGTTTCAGAAAGTGAAGAATGCCAAGAGATGTGCAAAAGAGCATTAGAAATAAAAATCACTGAGAGTTGATTTAAAGCCTTCTAGTGTTATGTCAGCGTACATTTGAGTATAACATGTCATATATTTCTTGCATATGAGGAATGTTACTGAGAATGAAATGAATTTGAATCTTTAGATTGCAGGATTCATATGTTGGCAGTTGGTCCAGACATCTAAATATTCTAAATAAAGATTCCTAGAAATTATGGTGCTGCTCCCAACATCCAGGTGGGCCTGGGACAATTCAGCTGATTCTGAGTATGGTGGCAATTCTTTAAACAACAAAGCAAGGAAAGTAAAGCCTGTTAGGCCGTGAAAGCCAAATAACCACAGGGCACGATGAATGCCAATGCCATTTCTGCTCGCACTGGAGTTTTTAAGATACCTTTGTTTAAGAAACCATGAAACCTAGAAGATAATCTTTGACCAATTCTTGGTTTGTGGAATGATTTAGGTTAACAATACATTAACTATTAAAAAAAAAAAACTTCGAGCAGAAACCTTTTGTATTCATAGTGCAAATGTAGTGAATTGATGTTTATCTTTAATAAAGCCAGAGACCAGTGTTCTGTATTCTTCTTAAAAAAAAAAAAAAAAAAAGTCTGGCTTTTTTTTTTTTTTCTTCTTTGAAATAGTGAGAATAACCTAAAGGCCTGGAATGGAGATTTGGTGGTGACAGGAAATTGGCCTTCCTGTTGAGCCTGTGCTTTTTGTTATTTCTGTGAAAAATCTACCTATTTAACCAAGTTTTAACCCCTTCAGACATAATTCCTGGTAGCATCTGTCAATGCTAGTTGTTACTAGCAAAATCTTGGGGAATTCCATTGCTTAATTAGTCTTCTAGCCACTCTCTGCCCAGGTTGGATGCATACCTGCCCCACAGAGCTTTGGGGTATGCCCTGTCTCCTTAACGTGACTACATTTTAGGTCACTTTTAAAGTAGACCTTTGGTGCAGGAAATTCAGCTATGTATCTCTGACTGTTTTGGAAGGTTATTCATCTTAACTCCCCTGGCTTGGGACATCTGTCCATTTCACTTGCTTGGACTTAGGGATAGTAAGAAACAAGTAGAAAAAAAAATAACATCTTTAAACAATTACAGCTGTTTCTGAAGTGTTTGACCACAGATGTAGAGCCCAAGTAGGTGAATTACCTGGCAAGCTGGTT